GCCCTCTTTGAAAGTTTTGACTATATATTTATTGTTAAGGAAGTAGTAAATGTTTGATTTCATGTCAACCTGCACCACAGAGCTACAGCCATGCACATGGGGCGTCACTGTGTTGCCATAGAAACTTTCCATTTCCAGTTGGGCGAAGAGGGCGTTCCATTCTCATTTATATTCCCTCCACCTTTCATCAAGGCGCCCTCCACAGCTGTGTGACTACGCTGGGAGTGCCTCTCCATAGTTAAGGGGTAGTGCATAGGAGGCGATTTGGGATTGGGACTCCCTGCACCCCATGTTGTAATGAGGACATTGAAAGTAACGGGTCAAATCCCTGTTTTATAAAAATCTTACTGCTAAAATAAAGCTTTTAAAACTTTAACAAGAAATTCTTTTTATTCACACATATTTAGTAAAATATAAATTGTTTTGATAGTCATCTAAAAAAACATTTGTTTTATTCAGCACAGGAGCTCAATTTTTGAAAACCTTATTTATGCAATAAAGGAGTAGAATTCAAACACCAGTTAGCCATGTACAAGACATGAGGAGACGACACAAAAACACTAATTAAAATAAACAAGAACACTGATGGGCGGGGGGTCGAGTCTAACTAGATTAAAAACATAAACTTAAAAAAACTTTTATTGTTGTTTTGTATACAAAACGAAATCTCTCAGACAGTGAATGGACATTTCCATTCCATAAGGTGCAGCAGTGATCAAATGTAAACAGTGTGGGAGAGAAGACATGGTGCAAAAAAAAAACGCATTGATATGGAAGTTCAGAGCATTAATAGACATGCTGTAAATATGCAGTATTTTTGGTTAGGTGTTATCAGTGTGATAACATGATTTAGAGTTTTTTCAACAGTTCAGATTTCTGATGGCTGTGGGCAAGAAGCGGTTGCAGAATCAGCTGGACTTGCATCGGATGCTGCAAAGCCTCTTCCTAGAGGGCAGCAGGGAGGACAGTCCATGGTGGGGGTCTGAGGGGTTGTTGATGATGTTATGGGCTCAGGTCACACAGCGCTGGGATGAAATGTCTTTTACAGAGGGAAGAGGAGCCTTGATAATGATGAGCCCTGATGATCTTCTCTGTTGTTCTCACCACTCTTCTCATTTTCTACCAGTCTGAGGCGCTGCAGCCTCCACACCACACAGTGAGTCAGCTGGTCAGAACGCTCTCTATGGTGCTTCTGTAGAAGGTGGTGAGGATGGGTGGGTCCAGGTGGGCTCTCCTCATCCTCCGCAGAAAGTACATGCGCTTTTGTGTCCTTTTGACTAGTGAGGAGGTGTTTACAGTCCAGGTGAGGGTGTCTGTGATGTGCATCCCCAGGAATTTGGTGCTGACTGTTGGCCACCTCTGCAGCTGAGCTGTTGATGATCTCCTTCATCTTCTCTGCGTTCAGGATCAATATCACAATGCTAGGAGAGAGAAAATGAAATAAAGGCATAAAAAAATAATTCAGCCATTTCATATTTTCCTTATACTTTTTATTGAACATCTTTGTTTATAGGTGTTGATGCTCGGTATGTTTTTCAGTGTAATCCTGTTTCTCTGACTGTGACTATCTGTACGTGCTCTCTTTCATCATCTGACAGTTGGCTTGGAGCTCGTTTGCCTAGCTGTGTGTTTCTAGATGGGACCACCTGTGGATCTGGTTGACAGTTGCCTTTTGTATCTCTGTTTCTGCTTCTGTCTCCTTGAACCCCAGTTGGCCGCTCAAACTGAGCCTGGTTTTGCTGGAGATTTCTTCTTGTTAAAAGGGAGTTTTTCCTCTCCACTTTCACTACAAGCAAGCTTGGTGTAAGGGATTGCCTTTGAGTCAATGCTATCAGCTGGTTTTCCTTAGATAGAAAACTTTGAACATATCTGACTGTATGATCTGGTTGAATTGTCTCTGTAAAGTGCCTTGAGAGGTCAAGTGTATTGAACTGGCACTATATAAATAAACTGAATTGAATTGTTTTGATAGTGAATGATGTAAAAATAATTTGAAAATATTTAAAAAAGGTGTGACTACTTTCAGCAAATAATATTTGAAAATCTAAATCACCAACGTAGGCTATCAATATTTAATTATTGAGACAATTACAATTTTGAAAAATTATAAAGCGTGATAAACAATTGTGCTAGTAAGACTAGAATACTTTAGAAGATAAACGTAGGACATACAGGTATTTTGTTTACACTGTAATTAAAAAAAAAAATTTTAAATTCAAAATTTTATATCTTTAATATCATTGAATTATGGAAAATGGTGTGGAAGCAGTCAAAAGTTTCCCTGTTCTTTACTTTATTAATCTGCCTTTAACTGGTTTAACTGCACTTTATCGAGCTGTTAAGATGAATCGCTAGCACATCATTTTACATGCCACTCTAGTTCTATTAGGTTTTAGTTTCAACATCTTGTCTTAACTGGAAAAGAAATATGAGAGTAGGAAGGTGTATATCATTATTAAATGCAATATGTTCATTTTGCTCCAGTAAAAACAAGTAGGATGCTTTCTATCCATACTTCCTTTAGCATAGGGAGCTCCTGACATAAGGTATACTGTTTTCCATTTCCAATATACATTTATATGGTGCTAATTGTGTATTCATACTAACATTATAGAGCAACAGCCTAGACAATTAGAAAGACACAAATATCAGAAGCTTTCTTCTCAACATATAAAAAATTTAGTGCTGTTTTTTGTTCAAAATAAAAAAAATAACTTTTTTCCCTCTTTTAAAGTGACTTATCATCTTGTGTTTACATGGTAACAAAGTTTTTATCAATGCAAACATTTATGCTAAGCTGAGTAACAGTTACTAAAGGATTGCTTTTAATCTGGTAAGTAATCTTTTCGATTAATATATACATTTGACTAGAAAATACCATTAAATGCTTGTTAGTTGTAAAAAGTCAGTTACAAATCCATACATTATTATAATATGAATAATCACTGTGTGAAATGTCTGCAGCACCATTGATTCTAGCAACTCAGATGGACGCTTTTGTGGCAGGTGTTGTGCCGAGAAATACCTCCCTGGCTAGAGTGACCTCCCCTGTCGCGGGCGCGCGCATCACCCTAAACACTTACACAATGATGAGAAAACGGATTGAAATATGAACGAAACTAAACTTTTAAACGTATTCTTAGTCTTTTCATATTTCTTATGTATGAATGCCCTAAAACTGAAAGGGTAGTTGGACAGATACATTCAATTTGTATGGAGACACGTTTTAGTGGATCATGTTAGTGTAGCAATGCATTTTCCACTTTTGCATTCAACAGCTGTCTATATTATTTCTGACACTTTAATTCTTAAACTTAGAAACTGGGTCGGGCGAAAATTCCCGCCCCTGCCTATCCGTTATCCCATCAATGTGGAAGAGTTTAGGGCGATGCGCGCTCCCAAGACAGGGGTAGTATTTCTCGGCACAACACCTGTTAGGTACAATACAAAAAACTCAAAAAAAAAAAAAAAAAAAGACTGATGACAAACAGACAGCAACAAAATATCCAGCTGTACGATGATTGAAAGCAGATAGAATACATGCACAGACAAAGGTTGTATGGGTTAAATGTGTTTAACACAATTAACTAATATGCCAAATTCAGAAAACAATTCTTCGGCTGTCCACAGGGTGGCGGTAAAACACCGAGCGAAGCTGCAAAACAAGAAGCTGGCCTTCGTCAAACTGACGGACGAACGTCACAATCCCGGAAGTTAGGTTTATCCTGCCTTTTGGAAATAAATTACTTCTTACTTGACATTTTTAGTTGTTTTTTTTTAGTTTGTAAAAATTTGTAAAATATATTTGCCCCTAAGCTTTTACATCTACATAGTGTTCATTAAAACATGCAACTAAAATAGCAGAGAGAAAAAACAAGTGTTTATGGAGTCATTATAGAATAGATATTTTGTGTCTAGAACAGGGTCAGTTAGATTGAAGCTGTATTTAATGTCAATGATTAATTCTAATAAATAAATCTAACTGACCCTCTAAGCTTTTAATGGGTTTACAAATAGGATGAATAAACCATAGAATAATGAACGAATTAGCATTTATTGGAAAACAGGATGAATAAAATCAGTAAAATTAGAAATACTAGAACTAAACCTATGAATATTTTCTCATCCTGATCTTAAATTTGTATTTCTTCTATTACTTCTTAAAGGTGGGTAGCAACTATGCTTACACAACATTTGAAAAAAAAAAAAAGTACTTCTACCCTAATTTCCACACAACTGAGTAATTAAATAATAATAATAAAAAAACTCTGTAATAATCTTCATCAGCAACCCTCACACCTCCACCATGGACTTTTCTCCCTGCTGCCCTCTGGGAAGAGGCTTCGCAGCATTCGATGCAGAACCAGCAGATTCTGTAACAGCTTCTTCCCCACTGCCATCAGACAGCTGAACTGTTGAAAATTCTAATCAAGTCACAAATCGAGACTCTGCATTACACTGATAACACCATACTTGCACTACATGGTGAATCAAGTCAAGTCGAATGTTTTTTACTGCATTTTTTCACCATATGTAGTTGATTATTTTTGCACTGCTCTGAACTTTCTGTATGAGTGCCTTTTTGTATCATGTCTTCCCCAGACTGCACCGTATGAATGGAATATTTTTTTCTCTGCTAAGCTGCTGCTCACTGTCAGGAAGATGTATAAATCAAATTTCGTTTCGTATACACACTGTGTATAAAAAATTCTATCAAAAAAGTCAGAAAGTCAGAATACTGAGAAAAAAGTCAGAATTGTGAGAAAAAAGTGAGAATTATTAAAGTCAGAATTGTGAGAAAAAAAAGTCAGAATTCTGAGATTAAAGTCAGAATTGTAAGAAAAAAGTCTTACACTTTTTCTTACACTTTTTCCCCCCCTCATATTATACTGAAATAAAATTTAAAAATCAGTAATTTTTTTCAGTGGCCCTAATCCCCTTCCGTAAACAATAATTTTTTTTAAGTATGCTTTTATTTTGAAAAAGAAAACATACCGGAAGTGTAGCACCGCTCGCTTCCACGCTCTCAGAGAAAGAAAAGAGGTAAATGGATCAGGCGGTTGAAATGGAGAGCAAAAGGATTGGGAGGGTGACCAAAAATATTCGGGAGACATGGCGTGGCTGCGTGACACAATAGGAGGATCTTACCATACCAAGAACAGTACTTTTCCGAAGAACAAAGTAAAGGCCGCGGCTTCTAGCTGCCCGTTTAAAGGCTTTTCATTTCGTTTTTCTTTGCCATCTTACCTCGTTTAACCCAAACAGCAGCAGCAGCAGCAGAAGTGAGCAACCCGCAACGTTTCTCCTGCACGGCATCTGCAGAGAGAGAGAGGAGTCTGTGGCCAGCAGCCTGCTCTGACAGCTTGAAAGGTACAACAAATAAAGCAACAACAAACCAGTTCCCCCAGTTGGCGGTAGTTTGTTTACACCTTAACGCCGCGCTGAAGTTGGACAGCCGCTCTCTGATGATTGTTTTCAGCCTCGTTTCGCCCGCATTGTTCGCTTAGAGAGTACAGCGGAAATATTTCCAGCTGTTCTGATTGAAGTGACACGGTGCTGATCTGAAAGGCATTGATTCCTGCAGCTAGGCTAATGTTAGCAGCTGGATCTGTCAGTGGGAGAAACTCTGCCCAGACATGCCTCTGGGGGGCTAACGGCTCTCCCCTGGCCAGCCATAACATTTGCTCTGAAACCATATTAATGCATGAGATCAGAATACTGGTGGGGAAATTTAGAGTAAAATACAATAGAAAATCCCAGAATGGGGAAATTCTGGTCTTACAGCAGCAAACAGGTTATAGAAAAATATGGTCACATAAATGTGGACCTTAGAAGAGTGTATAAAAATAACATAATAGGGAAGAGATAAAAAATAAATAAATAAAATACTGTGCTGTAATGTGTTTTAACAATATAAATACTGTGCAGCTGGAGAATAAATAATAATACAGCAGTGGATATTTTTACAGTAATGGATATGTGAAAAATAGCAGCAACATCAAAGATGTGCAAAATGACAGCAGCATGTTATTTAACTGACTAATGTAGAAACTGCAAAAATCAGCATTATTGTAACAAATTATTGGGATTGTTGGGAGCAGTGATGGTTATAGTCTTACAGCTGCTGGGAGGAAGGATCTGTGATTATGCTCCCTGGTGCATTTAGGGTGCAGCAGTTTGTCACTGAATGAGCTTCCCAGTTCGGCAACAGCTTCATGCATGGGGTGGGACATGATATTATTATTACAGGTACAAGGCAACGAAATGCAGTTTAGGTCCAACCAGAAGTGCATTAGCAGCAAGTGCAGGATAAATAATGGTTCCATAAATACAGGACATGGGTTTCTACTTAATAAGTATAGAGATGAATGCCATTATAAACAGAATCTTATTAATAGATGAATATAATATATAGATAACTAGTGTTATGAACTCAATTTACAGCTGGATATGTACCGAATATAATATACAGGTGGATATTACTATAAAAAGGTTTTTACAGTTATGTACAATAGATGGGTTTTACTATAAAATGAATAAATAAAGTTCAGACAGAAGCTATCTAAATTAAAGTGCAATATATGGTGTAATATAATCCAGTACAGAGAAGGCGTTATTATTAAATGTCTGCAGATGTTAAGATTTGATAAGAATGTTTACATCTGCGGAATATCTTACTTTAGCTCTAGATAACTTTCTTTTTTTCACTTGCTGTTTTATTACTTTTTTTCCCCCTTACTGGAAAATTTGTCTTATGTTTACAGGAAGCTCAGCATGAGTCGAGATGGCTGGATGAAAAAGAGAGCCAATGCCAGCGATGACAATGGTTGGGAAGAGAGGGTGAGTACATCCAGCTGTGACGGCTTCACACAGAACCAAAAACATCCGTGGTGAAGTGAAAGTGGAGAAAATATATGTGTTCCACCTCTTTTGTGGAAATGTCATGAGGGAGGTTGGGTAATAGAACAATATCCCACTGTTTTTAAAAAATTGATAAAAAGGGAAGAAAGAACAAAGAAAAGATCCAAATGTTAGGGAGGATGATCTACCATAAAACAGCTATTATATGTGCACTCTAAAAATCTGTTCTATAATAAGGTGTTCCTTTCTGATCTTGTAAAGTTAGGTGGGACATAGTCCAAAATACTGCTTGCTTTAAAGGTAGAGTGGAGGATGTTCTTTTTCTGAGTGGATCATCAAAATAAGTGGTCCTCCTAACTGTCAATCATTCTGGTGATATGTTACCGTAAGTCCGTACTCGCCCCCATTTTCACTTACCGGTGGTGAGTGTGACATCGTGGAAAATTGCGAATCTTCTTTTGTAAAGCGAGCTTAGATGAGGGATGCAAACAGCAACTTTTAAACAGAGCGTACACAAAGGGAATAGGCTCATGCATGCTCTCATACGTGTTTAATAGCTGTTTTCCAATGATTGCAAAGTGCCTTGTTGCCATCTTTCGCTTCCTTAAAATGAAGCCAAACTTTAGATCACTTTACCTGATGGTGCACCATTTTTTTGTTTTTTTGTTTTGTTTTACTAGACTTATGCCTGGTCACGTTATACTAGATTACCGAATGCAGTGTGCGTAACTTGCGTAAAAAACGTGACGTAAGTTGTCCTGCCCGGCGCTAGGCTCTAGTGCTGCCTGGAACCGATAAGAGAACCATTAAGCGAGCTGCCAAACGGTGCTATGGAATTGGAACACACAGAACCGGTTCTTAACAGTTTTCGATTCCCATCTCTAACTGAATGTCAGTTCTGGGTATTGGAGTTGATCTTTAAAAGAAAAAAAAAATCTGAAAGCCTTTCACCTAAATCCCAATAAGATTGAAGTTTGTGGTCTTTAAGGAAGAAAGTGAAAGAGGTTGGATTACCTCTGCAATCCACTGTAACCTCTGAGCCTCTCTCATACATTTGATCTAACAGCCTAAGAACCTGAAGGATATACATGTTATTATCAGAACAACAGAAAAGAAATACTGCAGCAGATTTATCAGAACTGGTTGGACTTTTTTTTTAGTTATCATGGTAATTAAAAACAATCTGGGCATCAGAAGATTGGCCTGGCTGATACCCAGCCAGAATAAACCAATGAAATCCATGTACTATGGCTTGTTTATGTAAGGTCTCTCAGTGAACAGAGGGTGGGATTTCCATCTTGCAGTCCAGGTAAATTAATAAGCTAAAATGTTAATGAAGTTTACACCCAGTCTGTTGGAGATAATGCCCATACCTCTGTAATTGTTTTGCTCTTATCAGTCACAGAAAAATGAATTTTGAATTAGACACATTTGTGTCTATATTTCTCTTGGATTTCTAACTGTCCCTTGCTGGATTTTCATTGCTGAATGTCTTGATGCAGGGCGGCTACATGGCTGCCAAGGTTTCTAAGCTGGACGAGCAGTTCAAACTCAATGCCACCAGAGAAAAGCTGAAGGAGGGAACAAGCTCCAGCATCTTCAGTGGGGTGGCTATTTATGTCAATGGATACACAGGTAACACAACATGCAAATGCTTTGTTTGTACCTTTTATATAGTCAATTCACCCCTTTACCACTTTTATTGGCTTTTTATTTCATCTCAATTTGCCGCTTTAACCAAACTCACTTTTTTTTTCATTGGTGAACAAACTACTTTCTACCCATGTTTCCTAAACCTAAAGAATTTGGACTGAATCAAAAGTCTTCCTGTCTTATTTATTCCATCAGATCCAAGTGCAGATGAGCTCCGCAGGCTAATGATGCTGCATGGGGGTCAGTTTCATGTCTATTACTCACGCTCAAAAACCACACACATCATCGCTAGCAACCTGCCCAACTGCAAAATTCAGGAGCTCCGAGGGGAGAAGGTCATCAGGCCGGAGTGGATCACTGACAGGTGTGTTTAGTACAAGATAAAATTGTTTTTATTTTCAAAGTCAATGAAATATAAGCTAAAAATCTCTACATGTCATTTGGTTAATCCAGCATTAAGGCCGGCCGTCTCCTGCCTTACTTGAAGTACCAGTTGTATGCTAAACAGAAGAACACGCTCTTCCCCGGCGTTGTTCTGCGCCATGCCTCAGAGATGTCAGAACCGAGCCACTGTCCCCTTCAGCCGAACATGCATCAAAAGCCCCTTTTGCCGGCGCACAACACTGAGCCCTCTGTCCCCCCCAGTGGGGGCTCCTCAAACAGCTCCTTTACTGTCCCCGGCTTTAACGATGCTGAGCCTCAGTCCATCCACCAGATCTCCAAAGCTAACCTGGATTACCGCCAGCAGGGTAATTTAAAATCCAGTCAGCTGGTTGCGGATTCCCTTCCTGTGAGCGGATCTTTACACCGGAACCACCTTTCCAACAAGGGTCACATAAAGCATCCGCACAAGTCTCCCAGCTCTGCTCACATGCATGGAGAAGACTTAAAAGTGTGAGCCTTTTTAATAAAAATCTCAGCTGGATGCATATTTCATTTCTTACTGTTAAATTATTATGTGATGTTTAATAACAAATATTTAAATTTGCCTTTTTTTTTTTTTTTTTTTTTGAACCGCAGGAACGGAGTTCCACAGACCTCACTGGAAACCTCGAGCCATTCTAACATGAAGGAAATGCAAGAGCGTGGCGATCCATGTCCTTACGGGGCCTCAGTTGTCGCGGAGGAAGCCCCGTTGACCAATGGACACGCTCATCATTTCAACGGTGCCTTAAAGCCAAAGGACTTGTTCCCTGTTGCAAATCCATCCTCCTCTGTCAGGGACGAGTCCACATGTAGAGCGAAGAGTCCAACAGAGAAACCTCAGAGTCCTACAGTGCAGTCACATACCAAACCTGATCCATACGAGTTCCCCCCCAGCCCTCCAAAGCAATCAGACTCACTTCCTGTCCTTTCGGAGCTATCCAGCTCACATCAACAAGGCTCTTATGGATCTAAACCTTTGTTATCCTCTCACAAGGCTTTAAAAGCCAGTAAACCCCACCCCCCTCTGAAATGTCTCCAACCTCCCTCTCAGGTTGAGTCCATTTCTGAGCCGACTCCTCAAACTCCTGCATCCCGTTCTCATTCACACTCTGCAGTTAGACTGAATGGTAGTCACCACAAAGTTTTTCCGTCTGACCCCCAACCCCTTAACAATGTAACTGCGAAGCCCGATCCTTCAACCTCCACTTCTTCAGACCAGCTGCTGGATCAGACTGGCGGGCTGATTTCGGAGTTTTACTCTCATTCCCGTTTGCACCAGATCTCCACCTGGAGGATTGCTTTCTCCGAGTATGTCAACGAACTTCACAGCAAACGAAAAACGGAGGGGAGCCCGTCCTATTTTGGGAAAGAGCGACTGAGGAAATCTATGGGTCAGCGATCCACGCATGGACAAGGTAGGAAAGGAATTTATTTATATGCAGTTTTATCCTGTAAATGGATTCCTGTTGTTGGGGCCATTTCTGTGTTCTTTCTCACTGTGAATGCATGTGTGAATGCACACGCTGCATTAGGGCTGGGCGATAATTCAATAACGATATATATCGATCGATAGACGTGTGGCGCAATAGAAAAAAAGAGGGTCGATAAAAGTTCGATAAAAAAGAAACGCAGTTTTCCTTCCTTCTCATTGTAGCCTAGCATGTAGGTTTATGCTAGTCGCTGCTTCCTCCCAACCAATCACAATCGCGGACCCAGGCACGCCGTCACCAAGCGCCGCCCTCTCAAACCACAACACAGAGCACATGAAGCTGTGCAGCAAGGAGAGGCGGAGGAAATTGTTCCAAAGAAGGGTTTTTGTAGTTCGGCAGTCTGGCAGTATTTCGGTCATGGCAAGTCGGACCAAAAACAAACCACAGTCATCTGGAAAATGTGTCAGGAACCAGTGAAAACCAGTCTGATAACGAAACCAACTTTTTTTTTTTTTTTTTTTTTTTTATATATCATCTCAGCCGCTCACACCCGCAGGAGTACGAGCTGTGTAGGCCCCGACGCGGCTCTCCTCCGAGGAATCTTCGGAAAAAATATATATATTTTCAGTTCTGGGCAGTTTCCCACGTAGTTCTAACAATTGAGATAAAAATGCTGAGGGGCCAGAAACTTCAAAGTAATAACTCAGGTTAAAGCAGGAAACGGGGGCGGCGGTGGGGGGGCATTTATTTATTTGTTATATTTATTTTGGTCACTTTTCTGGTCACTTTAGTTTATTCTTTGTCAGTATTTAATAACATAACTCAGGTCTTTTAAGTTATTTTTCTTTAAAACAATTGTTATGGTTAAAAAAGTTGATAAATAAAGATTTAATTAGAAGTCTGTGTTTGTGTTTTTTATTAAAATTAAATCATTTAGCAATATTATAAAAAATCCAGGCAGAGCTGCACATAAAATATGGTTTCAAATCTTTTCAATAATTATCGATATCGATCAATATCCTTTTTTGTTTATCGATAAGCTTTTTTTCTATATCGCCCAGCCCTACGCTGCATTCCTATTCCATGCAAAATCGGGATTAATCAATGAGCGCAACATTCAAGATTGACAGGAGCTGAACAAACTCTGCCTGACTTTACAAACAGCTCACAGTCTGTGAACGTCTCTGCTGTGGATTTTAAGACTCCTTTGACTTGATCCAACACCAATGTCTTTTATTTCCTTTTTTATGTTTAAGAAAACAATCATAAGTGTTGAGTTCAGTTTCCCTGAGTCAGGATACCTGTGAGAGGTTTGTAGCTGAGGATATTATATTTTCTTACCCTGTTATAACTTATCTATCTCCTATCAGTCAGCCAGGTTTATTTTTTACACCTGATGTTTGTTGACTAACTTTCTGAAGAAAATCTCGAGGCTGTGGAAAACAGCTGGATTTATAATTAGTTAAAATTAAACTCAGGGGGTCTGTTGTTAATATTTAACTGATTTTTAAAGGTCATTTTTCAAATTGGATTTTATTTAGCGTTAGAGTAAAGAAGGTGAATCACAAATGCTTACAGCATTTTGACATATATAGATATATAACTCTTAGGGAAAACCACTTCAGTTATGTGCTTTTAGCAGAACATCTTCCAAAAAATAACTCTTTTATTTTTTGATTTGTTTTTTAATCAGGCACATCAGTAGCAGCCAGTGTAAAATCGTGTATCTTCCACGTTGACATGGACTGCTTTTTTGTGTCTGTGGGGATCCGACATAGACCAGAACTTAAAGGCAAGTTGATTTTTTTTATATATAGATGTACACTGGGACAAATGAAAAGCAGAGATCTGTAATTTGGTTCCAGTTTAGATTTAGATTTCTGTTAATCTGTGCAGGGAAGCCTGTCGCTGTTACCAGTAACCGTGGACTGGGCAAAGTCCCGGTCAGACCCGGAGCTAACCACCAAGTGGAGCTGCAGTACTACCAGAGGAAACACACTCATCCTCAGCCAGGTGAGATAACATCAAGGCTGTTTAATCAGAGAACCCAGAGGTGGTACAGATGTGGACAAAATCGCTGTGATGCTTGGAGCTCAAAGACACAATGCTTAATATCTGCAGTACTTTGGTCTGTTCGCCTCCCAGGATATGGACTGGGGAGGTAATGCAACCACAGGTTCATCACATGGCTACCTTGGAAAGACCTAAGCCCCATTTATACTACTTTTTTGAAACCGTGCCGAGATTGGTCCGAGTACGGTAACTGAGATAACTGTTGTTGATGCCACGCAAAACTGAACCAGACCATGCCAAACACAACCGAACCGTGCCAAACTGGTACTAGTTCATCAGTAGGGCGCGGCCCAGTTCAGTTCTGGCATGGTTCTTGGATAACAAAGAGCGCATGAGCAGACCACGTCATCCTCTTACAGTCAGCCTCTGTAATCATGAAATTTCAGAAATCGTTAAAAATGCTAGCTTCACCGCCGTCCCACACCATTCCCAGTGATGATTCTACTTAGCTGTGTGATGAACATCAACATCTGTCTTTGTTTCCTGTGTCTGTAAGCCCTGAGTAGACTCGTTTGTCGTATCTACTTTCCAAAAGCCAACTGTCAAGTAAATTCACCAAAGGCTGCCTTCTTCCCCTGACTCTCTGCAAACAACGAAATATCATAATTATAATCAAGCTTCCTGAATGTTACAGGCACTGCCATGTTGATTTGCTTGTTTACCTCTGGAGAGCTGTAGTACTGTAGATCGTCACTAGGAGGCAAGGAACAGTGCTAGCATTGTGTGTAAACGATCATATGGAACTGGGCTTGGCGCGGTTAACTGATCCAAGATTGGTCCAAACTCGGCACGGATCGGTTTCAGAGGGTGTTGTAAATGGGGTTTTAGAATCCAAATCCAAAATGTCTTCCTTACTATTCTCCCAATTTATCACATTAGTTATGATTGACTTTATGGAGGAAGTCTAGAAATTGCTTCAGAAGTGATTAAAAAATGACTAAAGCCAGGCTACGTCCAATTAAGACGTAACAGACTCCATCATTGCTTTTATCAGAGACAGCGGATGATGATCTGTCCGTAACTCCATCACAAGACACCCCCAACTCCTATGGCAACGGCGTGGACCAGGACGCTGCTGCTCTGTCCATGGCAGAGATTGCATCTTGTAGTTACGAGGCCAGGTGAGATATCATCATGATTACCACTCTCCTGTACTGACAGAAATGTAAGGGAATCTGGTTTGCTTTTTACAGGCAGGCAGGCGTTCGGAACGGGATGTTTTTTGGCAAAGCTAAACAGCTTTGCCCTTCGCTTCAGTCCGTCCCGTATGATTTCGATGCCTACAAAGAGGTGGCTCTAAACTTGTACGAGATCCTGGCCAGGTGAGAACCTCAGATCTCACTTGCATTAGAAATTTTGTACAGGTAATGTTGACCTTCATGTGTTCCTTCCAGTTACACCTGTGACATCGAGGCTCTCAGCTGTGATGAAGCGCTCATAGATGCTTCTTCTCTGCTTGCGGAGGTTGGCGTCAGCCCTGATGATTTGGCCAAAGCCATCAGAGCGGATATTGAGGAGAAAACAGGGTGCTGTGCTTCAGTGGGAATGGGTACGCCCCGGGATTCCTCACAGCGTAAAATAATTGAAGGTGGCATTGATGTATAAATCATTCAGTCTGACTTCATTCTGTTCAGGTTCCAACATTCTTTTGGCCCGACTCGCCACCCGCAAGGCCAAGCCGAACGGGCAGTACTTCCTCAGGTCTGAAGAAGTGGATGATTTTATCAGGGAGCTGCCGGTGACCAGTTTACCAGGTGGATGCACTGCACTACATGCTGGTCTGCCAGAATACTCACTGATCAACGTTTAACCGATCGGTTTTATTTTCCCAGGTGTTGGCCACGTTATGGCCAAAAAACTTGCTGTCATGGGGGTGAAGTCATGTGGGGACCTCCAGCAAGTGCCTCTATCGCAGCTGCAGAAGAAGTTCGGACCTCGTACGGGACAAACCCTGTTTCGATTCTGCAGGGGTTTAGATGACCGACCCGTCCGTTTTGAAAAAGAAAGAAAATCTGTTTCTGCCGACATGAACTACAATATCCGCTTTACCACGGTTAGACCTGCGAGCTTTTATCCTCACATGTGTCTGTCCAGAAGATGCTTGATTTCTGTTCCTGCTGCCTTCAAACTCTCCAGGTCGACGAGGCAGAGTGTTTCCTGACTAATCTCTCGATGGAGGTGCAGCGGCGTCTGAAAGAGGCAGGCCTGCGAGGTCGTAGAGTTACTCTTAAGGTCATGGTTCGCAAGGTGGGAGCGCCTCTGGAGCCGGCAAAATACGGCGGTCATGGCATCTGTGATAATCTAGCCAAGTAAGGATCAGTGTCATCTGCTCCTCGCAGAAGTATTAACACCCTCTGAAGAGTCACACGTTTTATTATTACAGCTAAAAACTTCAATGTTGTTTGCTAGTGCATAATCGACAACATAATATAACATACTATAACTATACAATATAACTTAATCGACGACAGTCTTGTGTGCATCATAATATTAACATACAGGATATGGAATCCTATTAAATGATTTTATTTGGGTGGAAATAATTATATGGATTATAAATCATTAAGTAATTTTATCATTAAGTGGAATATAGAGACTCCAAGGCATTTCCTTTGCTTAGAAAATATCCCACTCAGAGCAGTAATTAAACCAAAACTGTACATTTTAGTATAAAAAGCGTTTGTTGTCTGTAAAAATGCTCCATCTGGAACTTATGGGACCGTTTAAGCTTCAACTGGTTAAAAAAAGGTCTATAATGCATCTTTTCCATTAGGAAACTACTTAATAAATTAGCTAAATAATTTGACCCATCCACACTTTGTATCACCACTGGAATCAGATCTAATATATAATTCTGTCAATCCTTTAGTTAGTACTACAGCTTGTAAATAGGCTGCTGAGATGTACTTTTATGCTATTTCTATCTTTCCTCTCATCAATTAAAAGGATATGAGGAGCAGAGAGATCTCACAGAGAAGCAAGAACACTCAAACCTGGCTGTGTGGTTTAACTTATTGCAGACCATAGATCAGGACTGTCAGAATAAAGTCCTGGAGGTTCGGTGTCCTGCACCTTTTAGATGCGCCTCTGCTGTAACACACATGAATCAAGTAATTGCGTCCTATGCAGGACTCTGCAGAACCTAATAAGCCATTTGATGCAGGTGTGTTGGGCCAGGGAGATGCAACTAACGGTTGCAGGATACCTGCCATAGACTATTTTAAGGCAGTTTTAATTTGCCTCCACATCAGTTCTTTGCCATTTTCAAAATAGTTTTATCTACAGGACATTTCACAGGTGCAAATTATTAAATGTTTATTATAATCAGTAAAAATGAAAGAAAAAGTCAGCTTATATTTGTGCTTGTAACGGGTTGATGTACCCCGAACCTCAGCTTAAAGATTAAACGTTCATAGGAAGGTAAAAGGCGTTCCCTCCTTATTTGTTTTAGGACGGTGATGCTGGCTCAGTCCACCGACAGCGGGCAGCTCATCGCCTCTGCTGTCATCAAGCTGCTACATGCCATGAAGCTGCAGGTCCAAGACCTGAGAGGTGTCGGCATTCAGGTTCAACAGCTGGAGGGAAATCAACTCCAAGGACAGGACTGCCGGGCTCCACGGACACGCTCCATCAAAGACATGCTTCTAGGCCAGGGATTAAATGCCCAAACTAATAATAAAGGTCAGATTTTTTTTACCTTTCTGGCCGTTTTTTTTTTCCATCTATACTCCTGACATATATTTTGGTACGTGTTACAGCTGCAGCAGGCACTCCTTCTGAACAGACCTCAGCAACACCCGTCCACTCAAGTAGATCATCCCCGCATCCTTTGACGCCTGGCGAGCCAGTCCCTGGGACAAGCAAGGACACACCAGTCTGCAAACAAACGCCGAAACATCCCAGGACCCGCCTCAACTTCAGCATAGAAATCCCTTCCCCCTCCCAGGTAAAGCATGGATCTCTGACATCAAGAGGGAGATGTTGAAAACCCACTGCTTTATTGTATCAAGATATTAGGACAAAAATTATCTAATTATTTTTATTTAAATTCAAAAAAACACCAGGAGTTCCACCTGGTATAAAAACTAGCAGATTATTATTATATTAATGCCATTTATAGAATACATATATTAGGACTTTAATACATGGAATCATGCTTAAAATATGAATCTAATATATGTAGGGTGACTACACAGAGGGACTACCAAAAGGCAGGTTCTGGCAATGCTGCCTTTTAGTTAAAACAAAGTAAAACTGCACTTCAGACAGTCAAGCTTCATTGAGCTGGGAAGTTTTATTTTGTTTTCGGGGGCAGAGGTGAAAGCACCGGATGGCTGCTTCTATGCTAAATGCTCGATCACATGCGTTTTGTCGTATTATTTTGGTTCATTGGTTGTGAGATCAATACAGAATGCAGTTTACTTTGTACTCTGATCAGCATACAGGTGCTGGTCATAAAATTAGAATATCATGAAAAAGTAGATTGATTTCAGTAATTCCATTTAAAAAGTGAAACTTGTATATTATATTCATACATTACATACAAACTCATATATTTCAGATGTTTATTTTGTTTAATTTTGATGATTACAAATGACAACAAATGAAAATCTCAAATTCATCATATCAGAAAATTAGAATATTGTGAAAAGGTTCAAAATTGATGGCCCCTGGTGCCACACTCTAATCAGCTAATTAACTCAAACCACCTGCAAAAGCCTTTAAATGGTCTTTCAGTCTAGTTCTATAGGCTACACAATCATGGGGAAGACTGCTGACTTGACAGTTGTCCAAAAGACGACCATCGACACCTTGCACAAGGAGGGCAAGACACAAAAGGTCATCGCTAAAGAGGCTGGCTGTTCACAGAGCTCAGTGTCCAAGCACATTAATAGAGAGGCGAAGGGAAGGAAAAGATGTGGTCGAAAAAAGTGTACAAGCAAGAGAGATAACCGCACCCTGGAGAGGATTGTGAAACAAAACCCATTCAAAAATGTGGGGGAGATTCACAAAGAGTGGACTGCAGCTGGAGTGAGTGCTTCAAGAACCACCACACACAGACGTATGAAAGACATGGGTTTCTGCTGTCGCATTCCTTGTGTCAAGCCACTCTTGAACCACAGACAGCGTCAGAAGCGTCTTGCCTGGGCTAAAGAGAAACAGGACTGGACTGCTGGTGAGTGGTCCAAAGTCATGTTCTCTGATGAAAGTAAATTTTGCATTTCCTTTGGAAATCAAGGTCCCAGAGTCTGGAGGAAAAGAAGAGAGGCACTTCATCCACGTTGCTTGAAGTCCAGTGTAAAGTTTCCACAGTCAGTGATGGTTTGGGGTGCCATGTCATCTGCTGGTGTTGGTCCATTGTGTTTTCTGAGGTCCAGGGTCAACGCAGCCACATACCAGGAAGTTTTAGAGCACTTCATGCTTCCTGCAGCTGACCAACTTTTTGGAGATGCAGATTTCATTTTCCAACAGGACTTGGCACCTGCACACAGTGCCAAAGCTACCAGTACCTGGTTGAAGGACCATGGTATCCCTGTTCTTAATTGGCCAGCAAACTCTCCTGACCTTAACCCCATAGAAAATCTATGGGGTATTGTGAAGAAGAAGATGCAATACACCAGACCCAACAATTCAGAAGAGCTAAAAGCCACTATTAGAGCAACCTGGGCTATCATAACACCTGAGCAGTGCCACAGACTGATCGACTCCATGCCACGCCGCATTGCTGCAGTAATACAGGCCAAAGGAGGCCCAACTAAATACTGAGTGCTGTACATGCTCATACTTTTCATGTTCATACTTTTCAGTTGGCCAACATTTCTATAAATCCTTTGTTTTTATTGGTCTTCAGTAATATTCTAATTTTCTGATATGATGAATTTGAGATTTTCATTTGTTGTCATTTGTAATCATCAAAATTAAACAAAATAAACATCTGAAATATATGAGTTTGTATGTAATGTATGAATATAATATACGAGTTTCACTTTTTAAATGGAATTACTGAAATCAATCTACTTTTTCATGATATTCTAATTTTATGACCAGCACCTGTATATCTGTTCAAGGCCCAGCCCCTTAAAGGTATAGTGGAGGATGTTCTTTTTCCAAATGGATCATCAAAATATGTAGTCCTCCTAATTTTTAATCATTCTGGTGATATGTTTTGCATAAAGCTGTCCTACGTCCCCATTTTCACTTATAGGTGGAGAGTCTGACATAGTGGAAAAATTGCTAATCGTCTTTTGAAAAGTACGCTTATTTAAGCGATGCAAACAGCAACTTTTAAACAGATCGTGCACGAGGAGAAATGGGCTCTTTCACACGTTTAATGGGTGTGCCCTCTAGAGAGCGGGCACAGGGTTGTGCATGTGCATTTTTTTTTTACAGCGGCAAAGGCGGGTCTTTTCAAAAATTCGCAGAAATCCTCCACTATAACTTTTAAACAGGCTTCTTTTAGCCCCACCCCTAAATTTTGCGTGTTCCTGTGAGAGTAGTGGAGAGTCTTTGCACTTGGAAATAATTGACATAATGGGTATATGTTTTCATTAATTTATTGTTATACTTTATAAGCTGCTTATTTAAATATTTAAGAATTTAACTTTATTCTTCTTATAGGTTTTGATTTCAGTTGGCCTGTATTTGATTGAATTTTGTTTCTGGATCCTTTCCAAGGTGGATCGTTCTGTCCTGGAGGCCCTACCAGCCGAGCTGAGGTTGCAGGTGGAGCAGTCGTGGACTAAGACAGACGAGAGACCTAATCACTGCGTTTCACCTGATCTGCAGCTTCCCTCTCCTAACCCCTGTCCTGCCCTAAATGCCCCCCCTCCTGGAACACTGGTGCTGCAGTTTCCAAACCAACCGGACACTCTGGGAATTGTACTGGAACTGCCAAACTTCTCACAGGTTGAAAAGCAGATGTTGGGAAATAGCTTATTGGGTTTGTCCAGCAGTTTTTCTTTTTTAACTCACAGACACTCCGCTTGTTTAACTAAATGCAGGTTGATCCGGATGTATTTGCTGCCCTTCCCAAAGAACTACAGGATGAACTGAAGTCTGCCTACAGCCGTGCTAACAATATCCAACCCCAGGCGAAAACGGGTGAGTTAACCCTCGGTTTGCCTTCTGCCTCCAGCACACAGCTGTTGTTCCTTCATGAAGAGTGTTGTTTTTATTTATTTTTGTGTCACCTTTTGGCCGGTCTGCAGCAGAGCAGAAAAACCCTCTGTTGCAGCTTAAACCAGCGGTTGTAGGAGCTGCCGTCGGGCGGGTGAAGCGGCGCTACAAGAGAAAGAACGGAGTGAGTCCCGTTAAAAAAGTGACTTCCCCGTTAAAGAGGAGACAGGTGATGAACAGTCCAGCCAAAAACATACTGCCCATGAAACCACAAGAACCTGTGAGTGGACCAAAGGTTACAGATATTTCTATTTCTATGTAATCATTGTTTCAAACTAACTCTCCTTGCTTTCACTTCTTTTCTCCTCCTTCAGGCTAAAATTAACCCCTCTGCTGCCGAGCAAAATGTCTTGGTGTCTGTGACGAAGTCAGTCCCTCGTCCTGTTCCGACGTTGGCTGGAGCTTGTGATCTGAGGGACATTAAAACACTCCTACGGGAATGGGTCACCACCATAACAGGTTATTACTACTGTCGTATTCCTACACATCTTGTAATTTAACAATCCAAATCCACATAGTCCTTATATATCCTCATTAGGGATATTACATGACCGATCAACGCATAATCCTGAAGAGAAAAGGAAACAGTATGTGGTTCCGGTTGTGTTTGACAAACAGAAATCTGAAGATTTCAGCATGCATCGGCTTGTCTAAACTAGAACCAGCTTAGGCTGCAGTTACAGTTTAAATTCTCTTTGAGTTGGGCTGTCTGCCTGTGTGCTTCTAGAGGTTTTAGAGGTTTTGTTGTTTTTTTCCATTTCCGGATTCTCAATTGCGTTTAGGTCTACACTTGGACTAGATCATTTTTGAAACAGTTTTTTGACTGTTTTGCGACCTTTACTCTGACTCTGTTAATAGTTTATACAAAAATGTGTTTATTTTAAAATTTAAGACAAGGTTCAAGACAGAGGTCACACATTAGCTTCCATGTATTCTTTTATGAAGCGATATAGCATTGAGCACTTAGATTTTACAATTATATTTTAGATTTCAGCTTTTTTGTTCTGATTTATGTCAATAGTTTTGTTTTTTACTATAGTGATACACAACCGGTTAAATTTTAAAATGTCTGTTGTGGGGTTAGAACCGATGGAGGAGGACATCCTGCAGGTAGTGAAGTACTGCACTGATCTGATTGAAGATAAAGATCTGGAGAAGTTGGATTTGATCATCAAATACATGAAAAGGTCAGGACTGCATATATGAACACTTTTCCAGAGCCTAGCTCTCTCTTATCGCCTTCTCTCATGTGGCTTACCGTTTTGTCCTTCTCCCTCAGGCTCATGCAGCAGTCGGTGGAGTCAGTTTGGAGCATGGCGTTCGACTTCATCTTGGACAACATCCAGGTGGTTGTGCATCAGGCTTATGGTAGCATCTTAAAGATCACATGAACACAAGAAGACAGAAGTTCCTCTGTTCTACCATGATCTAACATGTACCAAACGAATCATGACATCTGAATGATTATTTTATGTTTTTCTGGCTTTTTCTCTAACATCTTTCTGTTCCATCAGTGGCTAACAAAAATATTAGCAGAAAAACAAAGAGCCATTATTGTATTTTTTTAAGTTTGTACAGTATGTTACTATTTGTACATATTTTTTACTTTTTTCAATGTTGGAGCAGCTTAAACTGAAGGGCAAAATGTTCTCGCCGTCTACTGGGAGTAGATTAAGATGCTGATAATCCTCACAGCTTTGTTGGTAACGTTTGTTTCTACTTATGTTTAGCACTGCGTTTGATTTGTCTCAAGTTTGATCAGGTCATGATGTCATACCCAAGTTGAGCCTGTTGTGATTGTAGGACGGTAAACCAATGAGATTACACTGTTGAAGTGCTTTAATTGTTACAAGCCTATCGCAGCTGCTTTGTTTCAATTCATGGATGCAACTCTGGAGGAACAAGCATGAGAATGGAGGTTCCAATTTGTGTCAACAGTTAAAAGTGAGAATCCTTCTCAGAAGTACAAAAAAAGGTTATTCTTGCAACTTTAACAATGTTTTATACGTCTGGCAGCCATATTTGATACTGGACATGGAATGGCTCAGGGATCTCTAGCTTTCCCAGTCGGCATTCTGAATTCAATGTGTGTTCTTTAATTTTTTTTTTCTCACTAGGGACTCCTGAAATTCTGACTTTGAAGAACAAATCGAACGCAGCACACTTCTGTTTACTTAATTTGTTGTGTTTTTTCCTACATACCTGTTCCAACCCAGCAATGCAACATTCAAAGATCCTTTTTATCCTGTTTCATTTTCAGCAAAGCAGTTTACTTAGCGTACAGGTACTAGTGTTTAATAAAAGGCTTATCATGTCTAAACAAAAAAAAACACCAAACTCTTGGATCACTTTTAGATTCTGTTAACCTCGTAGCACTCCTCCTACTTTTCTGTGGAGAAAAAACTCGTAACTGCTGCACTCTGTGATATTTGTCTGTTTTTAGGTTAAAAAAAAAAAGTGCCAAATCTTGTTATAAAGTGTAGATAATGTTTTGAAAGACCTTTGTCAAATGTTTTAAACAAAATGTAAGTGGAGGGATTGCCTCTTGTATTGTTTACCAGTAGTGAATTCTTAGTAACAGTCTTTAAATTGTAACTCTCAAGTCTAAATGCTCATAAGTGTTTCAGCATAGAAATCTTTGGATTCTGTGTAGCACTCTAATTTGGTAGGACATCATGTTTAATGGCAATCGGTTAGCCTATGCATTTCTGTTCTTCTTTTTCTTTTCTTTTTTTTCAACAAATGAGAGATTTGCTGACTTTTTTTAACATTTATTTTGGGATAATCCTTTTAAAAATAGTTTTCATTTGGTTCTGAATCTGTTGAATAATGCTGGATTTGCATAGATTCAGGTGACCCATCTTTTGTAATTCACTACAACACTTGTATGGCACATGACTTCACTTCTGTATATATGTTCTGAATTGAACTTGTATGAGCGATCATTGAAAGCACTCGTCAGACACAGCTAACAACTTCTGATCTCCTCACAGAAGACGACAATGTAAGCTTTTTAAAAGTTTGCTTAAAGCAGTAACTCTATATGCAAACCAGATCGGTCTGAATGTAACCTGGAATGTGTGAGTTTTCATGTACTTTTAAGATGTTACTTCTCATCACCTTTCACTTGTTTCCTGAAAGAAATGGCCACAAGTAAAAACTGGCCGGCATTGGGTTCTCTAAACTGGCTTGTGCCTGAAGACCTGAAGCTGTGAATTTGTTTGTAAGTTTTCTAAACCTTGTTAATAAACTTAAACTTCTAATACCTTAACCTTTCTTTTCACTTATTAGAGGTTCCTGTGTGACATTGGAGGAAGAAAACCACAAATGGAAAAAAAAAAAATTCATAAAAGGTAGTCTTTTGTAGAAGGGGGTGCAGGAACAACTTTTAATAAGCCATAGGGGGCTTGCAACCTCAGCCATTAAATGTGGTATTAGCATCATGTGTGATTGTTTTCTTTAGCAGGAATGAGGAAGCTGGTGTATAGTGAAGGGGGATACAGTGAAAACCTCTTTAAAAAACCTTGTGGCAGAATAACAACTGTTAATCTGGTAGTCAGTTCAGTTTAAAGACCTGCTGATCATCAAACTTGTCTCCATTGTAATTTTATTGGAGGTTCAGGGTTCAGCTTGCACAAGGTCTCCTTTCCCCGATGTACATTAAGCCACACAGGATATAGCAGAGGTGGAGCCTTGACCCTACAGTGCAGCAATAGATAATGTAACAAAGTCACTTGGTTATCAATAAGTGAGGGTTTTAGACCATATTTTTGCAAAAGAGCACAACCTAATTTGTGCTGGCCTGGGTAGATCTTGATCTCTGCAAGTCAGGCTTTTGATTACTTCTGATAGCTGACATCAGAAAATATGTTTATCATTACCAGATAATTTTTTGTGTTGGAGGGCTTGGTGCTTGCATCAGACAAGGTGTATGTCAAACGTACACAGAACAGCTGACTCTTTCTCATCTATTTTTGTTACCACTCTAGCACACTAACCTTAGCAAACTGTAGTTTTTGGCTTTAGGAAATACCAACGTCACTGCAGGTAGTTTAATATTTCACATTAACAGAGGTCCCCTTATAATGGAAAATAACCCTAAACATACAGCCTTCTATGACAGAATGATTTCAATTAATTATTCATGCGTTAGAGTGACCCAGATCCAATTAAAAAAATATGATCTTTTACTACTCTTACTATGATTTATCATGAAAAATACAATAACATACATAATCTTATGGTGATAATATATATATATATATATATATATATATATATATATATAAAAAATTTTGTATTAATATCCTTGCGATGCAACCAGTGGTACTTGGAAAAGGGAACTTTTGATTAATATTGTACATCTTATGAAGATAATAGATGGAATTAACATTATTTGACTTGGTGAGCTATTTCTGTGACTTTACAGGCAAAGGGCACGGATTGAAGAGCTTGTATAAATAGATTTTGGTTCTAACAAGTTTAGATAAACTTCGACTCAGAGCTAAATCTGTTATTTTTTAAATAAAAGGCGACGGTTCAATATTGATGAACGTAAGGCCCGTTTTTGTCTGTAGAGTTGTACAATTAGTAGTAAAATTGTATTTTACTTTGAAAAATACGCAGAATTTGTTTTCTTTATTTTTTACCCGGAAGTGGTTAATAACTCGTGACGTTATATCCTTTGCAGTGCTTTTCGCGCACGAACTGAAGTTGATTCTCCGCCGTTTCTTCTGGTATTATTTTTTAGTTACCATCTTGTAAATGTCTACATTGACGTTACTGAGATTGTTATTTTCATACACGCCGCCCCTTGTTTAAAGGTGTAATAATAGATGTATATGCAGATGTAGAGCTTACGTTAGCTAGCCAGCTAGCTAACATAGCAAGCCGTTGTAACACAAATGCTTTTATCTCTACATATTTAGCAGTTAAATTAAATTAGTTGGGCTTTTATGTGTTTTTCTGAACATAACGATGTACGGAGCTGGTTTTGACGGTTAACCGAGCACAGAAACGTTATATAATGGACTATTGTCTGTCTACAGACTACATTAACCAAAACAAGGCGTGCCCTGCGGTTTCAGTGGCTTTGTTAGCTGCAGGTTTGTGAGATTAACTGGTTTTCAGAATAACTTGCTTTTTTTCTCTCCTGATCTGCACTGAACAGCAATTAAACCCAGTTAATTTATTCAGCTCCCGTAACAACACGTATCTCAAGGCACTTTACTGAGCTGGTTTGATCTAACCTTTCACACAGATGAGTTAAACGGGGTTTTATCTAAGGAAATCAGGGGGGTCACATTGTACCTTTGGCTTGAACAATCCACCCCTCATGGACGAGAATATAACCAGGATTGGGCACGTTACTTTGGAAAAGTAATTAGTTATAGTTACTAGTTACATCTCCCAAAAAGTAACTGAGTTACTCCACAATAAAAGTAACTAGTTACTAGTAAAATTAACTATTGCGTTACTTTTGTGTTTCTCGCCCCGTAATCCTCGCCTTCTCGCCGTGTGCTTCAAAGGCCATGCTGAATAGAGTAGATGACAAAGACAAGTACCTGCAGTTTTGCATTTATTGCAACTCAACGTAAATGACATTGGGGGGAACGCTATCTGACGGGCCTATAAACCCCGTCAGATAGCATTTCCCCTGCTTAACATGGGGAGAACGGTATCTGATGCAGTGTAAATATCATCAGGCTGCATTACCTCTACTCATGGGTGTGAAGTTTTTTAACAGGGCGTTCAGATCTGGTGAGTGTATGAAATTAATAACTGGGGATGTCTTATTCTGAAATCCTGTGTGTTTGGGTTGCTATAGATACTGCAACATCCATCTGTCTATCCATCCATCCATCTTTCTCCCTTTCTCCATTTAGGCTAACATTTGATCGTTCACGCTCTCCATAGTTCCCCTGTGGCGCGAGCACAGGGCGGCTGTTACGAGCCTTTAGCGAGCATGCGCGTTTCCTGTTCCGTCCGCGGTGAATTGTGCCGCCTGCGCTGTGCGGCGATGCAGGGGAAACTATATCTGATGGGGAAACGCAGCTCGACGTAACACCAGTATTTCCATGTGGAAAATGCTGTTTTGCTGCTGGAGTCATCCTCACTCTCCATCTCTGTGTGTGTGATGTATGTTAACACCCGCCAGCGGAAACACCCATCTACCCAACTGACAGATGGAATCTCACTATACATCAGCCAATCTCATCCTCCCCTCTCTTATGACAAGGCGCGCACGAGTCCTATCATGAAAAAAAGGTTAATTGTGCGACCTGAGTAACGTGCAGTAACGGGGTGTCGGCAATGGTAACTGCATTATAGTTACAGTCAAAGTAATTAGTTAGATTACTTGTTACTAAAAAACTTTAAACGCCATTACTCCCATCACTGAATATAACTATAGTGGACAGTTGCTTTCATTGGATTGCTGACTTTGCAGCAATCCCTGATAATAGTTATCCATCCAGTGAGGATGGAAAAACTTTGAAATTTGTCTTATAAGTGCGTAAATGAGAAGTTATCCACACATATGGTTTCTTACACTTGATCATATACTATTTTATTTAACCTAGCATTGTTTTCATTTCTTGCTTTACAGAACTTGTTTTCATCCTCTTGATATTCCTTTTACAACACTGGCAGCCATGGCCAATCCCGTAGATATCCTCAGCAAGGTGATAGAGCAAACAGCCAAGGTGATTGAGGAGGAAGTGGATGCCAAGTTAAGCAAACTGAATGAAATGGATGATGACGAACTGGAGAGGCTGAAGGAGAGGCGATTGGAGGCACTTAAAAAAGCACAGAAGCAAAAGCAGGTGAGTACGCGATTATGCCCAGCTGACTATCTCTCACTTCTTTAAGGGTGGATTTTATCATCTCATAATATTGATGACTACATGCCAGGCAGATATTGGATTGTTTGAAGGAATAATATGTTTGCAGAGTCTGAGAGAAGTTGGAGAATCAATTTCATGAAGGAAAAACCCCAGAGTACTCTTAAAATAAAAAGTATGGTTTACTACATTGAAAATTGGACCAGTCGTGATCTTTCTGTTTTGTTAGCTTTCCTAACTAGCCTAGGGGGAAGTGGTATTGGGGTGTTATAAATGACTTTAGTTTCTTATTTTCATGAATTTCCTGCTTTGAAGGAGTGGCTGTCCAAAGGCCATGGAGAGTACAGAGAAATCTCCAGTGAGAAGGACTTTTTTGGTGAAGTGAAGGAGAGCAAGAATGTTGTCTGCCACTTTTACAGAAATTCAACCTTCAGGTAAATCCATGCATTTCTCAGAAATCCTCACAGACCATTACAAACGTTTGATTTATTGAAGCATATTGTTTTACTACAGAGCTGCTATTAGCTGTTGTTGCCAATTGTAGCTGCTCTTAAAGTTTTCCAATATCACATCTGTCTCACAATCATCAATTCCACATTTTAGGGAGCTAATAGCTGCACTAAGAAATGGGAGATTTCTCATATTTGTATTTATTGCAAGCATCAAAATAGAAAATCTAATTAATGTTGGTAAAGGATTTATCAAGTTATATTTGTACTGAGTACTTATGAACCTAATCAATAAAACATTGAACTACGATATTTAGAAGTTCTGTAGTTTTACTTCTCAGCTTTAATTAAAACAACTTTGGAGAAGGTTGTTTTCTTTCTGCATTTGTGGTAATTAACGCTATAATCATTAAATTTTTTCTCATTGCAGATGTAAGATCATGGACAAACACTTGGGTATCCTGGCAAAGAAGCATGTGGAAACCAAGTTCATCAAACTGAACGCAGAAAAGGCTCCGTTTCTGACAGAGAGGCTGCGGATTAAAGTTATTCCTACCCTGGCTTTGGTTTTAGATGGAAAAACAAAGGATTATGTGGTTGGATTCACAGATCTGGGCAACACAGATGAGTTCTCCACTGAAATACTTGAATGGCGACTTGGATGCGCAGGTGTCATTAATTACAGGTGAACTGAGAGATAGAGAAGCGATCTAAGATTTTACAGATAAAGAAACGTAGCAGTGCACATTCCATTTAATGCCAACCTTCTTGTGTTTTTTTAGTGGGAACCTGATGGAGCCTCCTACCGGAACACAAAAGTCTGGATCAAAGATCACTAAAGTGGAGAAGAAAACCATCAGAGGGCGAGATTATGACTCTGACTCAGATGATGATTAAAATGCTTTTCGTTCTCGGGGCCACCTCCCTAAAATACTCAGCATCAGTGCTCTTGAATATTTTAGTCTCATCATTTATTCATTCATTGATTTCCATCGCTTTCGGTATCAGTCATCTTCTCTTTATTGGGCCAATTTAACATTTTATTTAAAGAAAGCCGTAACATTTAGATCTCTATATTGTCCCTAATGAGCCAGAAGTAAGACATGCTGTGAAATTCAGAGGTTTTCCTTTCTTCTTCTTGTGGCCTAGAAATTTCAAGCCTTCTTTTTAAATCACAGGCTTGTTTGGTTCATTTAATTTTTCTTGTGTGTTCTGTTAGAACCAAGCCTGTGATGCACATTAGTGCCATGAGAAAGTCTATTACACTATTAGCATCACAACAACTTTTTACATGACAAAACCTATTAGCAAAAAGTTTAACTTAATTCCATATTAAAATAAAAACATGAAAGATTTTCACTTTGCTTGTGTGTTTTTTATTAGTTTCCTTCCAATAGTTTGCGTCAAAAAATAACCACAAGCTCCAGCGCAGCTAATGGGATTGTATATTAGAATCTTTTGCTAGTTTATAGCTGTCAAGAAGAAAAATTATATTTATATCTAATTTAAGACTTCATAGGAATAAAATATAGAAAAGTGTGACTGGCATATTTTTTCATTTTTATGTAAGAATTAGAAGTTGATACAAACATATCTTTAGTTAAGTATGAAGTATTTTAAGATGAATAAGACCATAATGAAATCTCACCATTTGTGGAAAAACCCCAAAGGTAAACCTCAGTTGCCTTTAGACCAGATCATTGCATTGTTGTTTTGGTTGTATCTTTATCTGTCCAGCTATAAGGGGGACCTCTGCATAAAGCTCAAATCTTTCTCCTGGACCTAAATCTCCTACAGTATAGTACTAAAATAGCTAGGGTTTCTATCCTTCCTGCTTAATTAGCTGCATCCATCTCCACAACTTCAACAAGCTTCATTGTAATTGCTGAACTAAAGCATCGCCATCTGATGCCACTGACATGTACTGTTGCAGGGTGCATTTAGAACAAATAAATTCTTTGACCAGAGCACCTTGCTCTGTATGTCCCCTTTATAGCATGTGGGAGAGTGAAAAAGTGGATTTGCCAATGGTTTTACTCAAAATTATATTCCACACATCCCTAAAGGCCATATTGCCATGAAAGGAATACATAAGGGCTCATTTATACTGTCTTTAAGAGGTATTTTACCTTTTCGTAGTGCAAAGTTGCTGGAAATCAGTATGTTCTAAAAAGTTAACAGGGAAGTATGAAGTGTCTAAAGATGATATATAAAACCATTTGCATTAAGTATAGATAAGCTTTGCTACACCATTTTTACATTTCCAATCGATTTATGGTTTATTCAGATAAACTGGGTGCTTTGTATTCCTGCTCTGGTCAAAATGTGCCAAAGGATTTCTAAATAATGTTATCCCTGCACAGCATACTATTCCATGCAAGATCAAAGAACACTTGAAAAAAACAAACAGTTATTTTATGTTTATTAACAGTTAGAAATTGAAACAAATATTGCAGAGCAGAACTACGACTCAATAGGCTTCTGGTCGACAGGTTGGAGGAGGCGACGCACAATCAGCTCTCCTTTGCTGTTGATGTACGTGTCGGCCATGTCCTCCTCAGCGGGGAGCCCATGTGGAGTTTTCAATGGCTGTATCCTTTATGGATGCAGGGAAATAGAAAAAAAAAAAAAAAAAAGGAAGTCATAATCATTTAAATGACAGAAGGCTTGAAATTGAACTTTCTGTTCTGGACATAAAAAATGATCCAGCACTACAAATCCTTAACTTGGTATTTTTTATTTTTTTTTTTTATCTTCATTGTATCTCTAAATGCATGGAAAATCAGGCTATACTTTTTTATATATAAAACATGATGCTTTGTATTCCAGTGATATTACCTTACAAGGTGCTTGATAATTTTCAGCTGGTTATTAACTGAAGGTGTGTTTTTATGGATTACAGGCTTGTGAGCCTGAGGGGAAGACAAACAGAGCAAAGTCAAACATTGTGTAAGCATTGTACTACACGGCTATTATATTTATAAAGGATTCAGGGATATGTTGTCATACACTGCGCCCTTATCACGTTCCTTAATTGTCAATTTACCAGCTGCTACTGATAAATCATTGCTGTTTATGAGCTTCTATTGACAATAAATGCTATATTGCACACATGGACCAAGCTCTGATTCAACATCTCCAAAGCAGACTTTCTGATTCATCCATACAAACGCAGACTTGATGTCTTAGATACGACAATAACAGTACCTTTTCAAGTCCAAAATACTTCACAATATCCTTCTCCCAGTAGGGCCTTCGCATCACGCTTCTGACCCGGGTCACTATATGCAGTTTGTGAGGTTGCTCTGGATTGCCCCCGTACTTTGCATGCTCTTTGGATCTCTCAGCGAAATGCTGTCAAATTGGGACAAATATTTAAGTTCTTATCATCCGACAAAACAAACAAGCAGCAGATGACTCTTATCACCAAACACTGATGTTTCTGGGGCAATAAAACAAGGACTGATAATGAATACATGTTTAAACACAGGTAAGAAAAATCACACAAAAAGTTAACATCTAAATTTTAAATGCATTATATCTTATTTTAGTCTAAAGATAATTACATTTTAAGAGGGGGAAAAAAACTTAATTCTTTAAAACTATAAACCAACTGGGATGGGAGTATTTCAGTTTTTTTTTTTCCTTACTTCATTAGGAATTCGTGTTTTGGAAAATTTGCTGCGTGCAGACACAAACCACCCGCAAGGCGACAAAACTGCTCCTTCTTTCAGGGTCTGTAACAAAAAAAAAAAAAAAGAAATATAAACTGTATTATAGCACTGTGAACCAGGAGGGAAATCTCTTTTTAGATGATGATTTAGTAAAAAAAGAAACAGCTAGTTGATATAATCCATATACAGTAAATTGGTTTCCATTATTTAAATTCCCCCTTTTATGCCACTCATTACAGACCAACAGGACATGCAAAGGATAATGTCACCAACAAACATTTCTATATGCTTTTTTTTTCATCAAATCAAAAGCAGCTGAACGTATTGAACAAAATCCTTCTCTCCCCAAGAAGCCTTTAAAGGCCAAAACAGAATATACCGAGTCTCTCCTGAATTATCCAGCTGTTCCCGGGGGTCCACTACCAGTGGGATTTGAGAGGCATACCTCCAAAGAAAGGGGCTAATGAAGCACCCCAACTCTGAGCACTACACAAAAACTTATTTCTGTTAAAGCTATGTAAATATCTGGTTAATGTGTGTAAACATCAATTCCAGCTGCTTAAAAGTCGTCAGAATGGAAAGAGGAGATTTTGGATTAAACTGGGATTGTAAATTAGGGGAGGGTTGGCCCAGTGGGTTAGAGCTGTGCACCTGTGCTCTGAGAAGGTTGCAAAGACCCTTAACCCCACACTGCTCCCCGGGTGCGACACAATGGCAGCCCACTGCTCCCCAAGGGGATGGGTTCGATGCAAAGATACATTTCTGCAATGTGAGATCAATAAAGTTCAGTTATTATCATTATTAAAAATTGTTCCAAGAACCAATTTTACCATTTTTTTTTACACACATTACCTTCATATTTTTCCATATAGAAAATGTTTTTAATAACACTAATAGAAACCATGTCCCAATAGAAGTCCTTTGGTTTAATCAGCACTCATGATCTGTCCTATGTAGCCCACTGTCTGGCATAAATGCTGATTAAATGATTAGATTATTCATTTATTGACCAGCTAAGCAGCTAATTAGTCTATAACACAAACTGACAAGAAAATTTTATCAAACCATCAAAATTTTGGAAAATAAAATGTTAAAAAAACAAACAAAAAAACTATAAAATAACAAGAAAACATTAAAATACACAATGTCTACATGTCATATTGCCAACATTCTTAAAAATTCTACTCTTACCTAAGCTTAGTTTAAAGAGAACTAAAAGCAACCTACTATCAAACACACAGCATCTTACTGAAAAAAAAATAATAATAAAAAAATATATATTTATTTATATTTATTCCCTTACCTTAATTGTCAGGAAGTTTAAAGTGCGACAAACAGCCGACATGATTAAAATGTGAAGCAAAATCTGCTCCTCATGCAAAAGACGCCAAGGTTACGGGGTCGCTAATGGCTATATTACAAAATAGTGAATATTTTGGCGCAAATTAATGTTAACATCAGAGAGACTTATATCTAACTTAAAACTAAAAATATCCCCGAAACATTAATTGGTTAAAATAAGTTAATAAGAAAAGAAAAGCCAATCACGTTTCTACAGTTTACTTTTAAGAAGCTAACCGGAAGAACGTTGTGTTACATCTAAATTTCTCCGGCGGGGAAAATACTGCTTCCTTTAAAAAGGAAGGAAATAATAATAGTAATATAGGCAAAATAAAGTATATATACATATTTATGTAAAGCAATGTTTTTTTAAGTATTTTTGAACCCGGCCTTTTCTGCTTATTTCAACTATCAAATTAATAGTGACGTTTTTCTGGGGAATTATTTTTCGGTTACACCTAGGTAGTTGCCAACTTGTAGGGAGGTTCTACATTTTCCGCAATAACTAAATATGAACCAGCGATAAAAAATAGTATAAATAGTGAAAAAGAAAAAATGACAGATAACCATGTGTCCGGGATGGAGGCTTCTGCCGTGTCCGTCCTGAAACGGGCAGTGGAGCTGGACCAGAGCGGCCGCTTCCAGGAGTCCCTGGTCTGCTACCAGGAGGGGATCCAGCTGCTCATAGACATGCTGAAAGGTATCCGATTGTTCTTGGTGTAAACATTACCACTCTAAATATCGCATCCCCCTCATCACACTTTCTTTAATGTGGCTTTAACAGCTTTAAAAGACGAATCGAAGAGAGGACACTACAGGGATAAGATCAAGGGCTACATGGACAGAGCAGAGCAAATCAAAGCTCATGTTAACCAGATGAAAGAAGGTACTTCAATTAAACACTGTAAAATGCCTTCCAGGAGTATCTACACTCTAGTTTACATTCTTGCATTTCACCTCATTACATTGTTTGGACCTACATTCCTAAATGCCCTAAATGCATTAGGGAGCATTATCACAGATCCTTCCTCCCAGAAGCTCTAAGACTTTATAACCATCACTGTTCCCAAACAACATCAATAATATGTTACATTGATGCTGATTTTTTGCACAGTTTCTACCTTAGTCAGTAATTAACATGCTACTGTAATTTTGCACAGCTCTGACGTTCCTGCCATTTTCAAATATCCATCACTGTAAAAATGTCCATAGCTGTATATTGGTTATTTATTCTCGGGGTGCACAGTATTTATATTGTTAAAACACTTTACAGTTCAGTATTTTATTTGTTTATTTATTTTTTTTACTCGTCACTATTATGTTATTTTTATACTCTTCTGGGCTGATCAGTGACGCAATGGGTAGCACTTGCAGCAAAAAGGTTATGTGTTCGACTCCCGGCCCGGGTTCTTTCTGTATGGAGTTTGCATGTTCTCCCTGAGCATGCGTGGGTTATCTCCTGGTACTCCGGCTTCCTCCCACAGTCCAAAAACATGATTGTTAGGTTAATTGGATTCTCTAAATCTCCTTAGGTGTGAGTGTGTGATTGAGTGGTTTTTTTGTCTCTGTGTTGCCCTGCGATGGACTGGACCTGTCCAGTGTGTACCCCGCCTCTCGCCCTTAGACAGCTGGAGATAGGCACCAGCACCCCTCACGACCCCACTTGGGATTAAGCGTGTTAGAAAATGGATGAATGGATGGATATACACTCTTCTATGGTCCACATTTGTGTGACCATTTTTTTCTATAAACTTTTTGCTGCTGTAACACTAACAATTTCCCCATTATGGGACAATAAAGGGATTTTCTATTTTATTCTATTATGTATTGCAGCAACACATGTTAGGTACTTTGTGTAAAGTGAAAGAAAACATTCACAGAGAGTTTAGCTTAGTTACGTTTGAGTTTATTCAATCACTTTGTGTTTACATAGATGAATGAAGCAAAAGCTTATGAATGCCTGCCTTCTTACAACAAAATTAAGCTACACCTCACTTAACAACAATAACAATAATTTAGTTATAATACAAGAAAATATACTTAACTTACAATGACAGTTTTCAAATGGAATGTTGTGAACAATTTTTGAAACTAAGAAAGGTATTTAAACCCAGCATCAATAAATCTCATTTTGATTTTCTTTTTTACATTTTGCTTTTTGTTTGGTTTCTGGAATAGAGCAGAACCTCTGGACATATTTCGGTAGAGATTTCTTTTTGTGCTTTTTACATTAATTGCATTATTCAATAATATTCAAGATCTTTAAATTTGATTTTATGTGAAATTATAAATACTAGATTAGTCTGGTCACAACATCCACCTTAATGTATAATGAGTATGGCTCTTGTTTGCTGCAACAGACAAGCTCACAGTTTTCCACACGGTTTGTTAAATAAGGGTTTATAAGAGAGTAATTCATTTAATGCAAACCTTTAAAATTTAGGATGTTCTTTGTCTTATGTAAACTTGCTATTGACTTTGACATTCCTCCTTTTAAATAATCAACATGCTGTTTCTGGCATAGTTTATAATCGATTACCACACCCCAAAATGTTGTCTCCCAAACTCATTCAATTTCAGCATCAGAAATCTTTCCATTTATGTCATTATTATTTTATTTTTTCTTTCCAAATACCATGCATTTTGTTTTATTTGCATTAAGGGATAATTTATTGACATCAAACCAGATTTTGAGCACTTCCAACTCCTTTTTGATTGTATCTACATGTTCTTTTAGCAAAAGTATCATAGGCAAAAATAATACATTTCAATAACTTAGAAACTTTACAGTTATAATTTATATAAAGAATACATAATTAAGTACCAATCACCCTGTGATACCCAACATGTGATCTGCCATGAAAGTCACCATTTTGATTATTGAAAGATTTGCTTCCATTAATTGGTAAATGGCCTGTACTTATATAGCGAAACTATAGAGACTTGACTAAAGTGCTTTATGTTACATTCAGTTATAACTACATTATATCCACAGCTGCTCTGGGGCTCACTGACTGAAAGCAAGGCTGCCGTACACTGGCACCACCGGGCCTCTGACCACCATCAGTAGGCAATACAGGTGCAGCGTTTTGCCCGAGGACACGACGACACTGAAAGCCAGAGCTGGTCTTGAATGAATCAAACCTCTGATTGCAGGGCAAACTTCTGCACCCAACGCCACCTTTATTGCTTTCAACCCATTAAATAAAACATTACAGAACGACTTTCCTCTGAACCTAGAGCTCCAAGGCTCCTGGAATATGTTTGTACCAGTTTTAGAAATCTAAAGAGTGATCATTATACCATTCTTCTTTGCAGTATAGTTCAAGGTCAGTCAGCAAACACAGATTTTAAAATCCATTACATTGTAGCTTTGAATGTATTTAGAGTTGTTGCCATGCTGGAAGACAAGTTTTTCCTCATGTGTACTCCATATTTAGCTCCCTTCATTGGTCCATCAGCTATAGATAAATTACCTGTTTAAGAAAAGCATTCCCACATAAGGAAGCACAAAGCTGTTTACATGGGGACAATCTGTTAAGTGTATGCAGTGAAATTAGTTAAATGATTTTGGAATACCTTGAAGTTTGTGGTTATAACGACCATAAATGTAAAAATAAGTGGAAACAGCTTCACGTTTTTCTCTTGTCTTGACAGATGGGAAATATCACGAGCAGATAAAGATCTCAGAGGATGCCACAGGCTACAGCTACGAAGTTCTGTTTAAACCATACATCAGCAGCGCTCTCTCCGAGGTTTGGGTGGAGGATCCGTACATACGTCACACCCACCAGGTGGGATCTCCTCGATACAAATAGTTTAAAGAAACGAGGACTGGTGTGCTGTCATGCATGCTAATTGTGCATGCCAGTGTTATATTTGGTGTGTTAGCTGCCAAGATACTGAAGAGACAAAAAATATAAAAATAAAAATATAGTCAAGAGCCAGCAAGATGCGGGTTAATCCTCTGAGTTCCTGCATATTCAGCTTTAGAGATAAATGCAAATGTTATTCTTTACATGATGTTGCCCTGTTGATACCCTGTGATTTTAAAGTTAAAAAAACACCTTTTTTATTTAAATTTTCAACTTCAATTTGAGTTAAAGATAGAGCTAAATAATGGAAGTGTTTAGCTCATGTTAACTCTCTCCTCTACACCAGTTGTACAACTTCCTGCGGTTCTGTGAAATGTTGCTAAAATCCTGCAGCAAGGTGAAAAAGATCCACCTCCTCACATCCCAGGATGAGGTAGGTTACCTTAGTAACGAGGAGTCGTTCTGTAATCAACATTTAGCAGCCTCAGATGCTTATGCTGCTGATGATGTCTTTGTGTCCAGCAGGGTGATAACACCCAGCAGAGCAGCGCTCTGTCCGAGCTGAGGGACAGTCTGGGGTCCGAGGGGGTGACTTTAGATGTGCAGTACTCCTCCACCATCCATGACAGGGAGATCAGGTCTGTCCTTTACTTGTAGGTTGCAAATATGTTTTTAAAATTTTTTTTGTGTTCAAAACATGTAATTAACATTTTGGAAATTACTTAAAGGTTTGACAATGGTTGGATTGTAAAAATCGGAAGAGGGTTGGATTACTTCAAAAAGCCTAAGGTGAGATTATTGCTCCATGCGATTAATATTAATACATCTTTGTTTGTTATTCTTCGGATATTAAGCTCTGATTGTTTTGCCCATCAGGGCCGATTCTCTATCGGATATTGTGACTACGACCTCCGACGCTGCCATGAGACTTCTGTGGACATTTTCCACACCAAACACACAAAAACGCTATGAGATTGATCCTGTTCAAAGGACGTTTGCCTCTAACTCTGACTGACTTTGAAACCTAAACACATCTGCACTGGTATTAAATTAGCACTAACTTGCAGGTTCTCATCCAGGGTTTAGATTTAAAAGTGTGTCCTGAACTGATGTATCGCAGCCATCGCTGCCTCTGCCAATAAATCTCTGTTTTTACATCCCTTTTTGTGCCTGTAAATAGTTTCTGTAACTATGGTTGTATTTATTGAGAGGGATTTTATGGACCAATATGTGCTGGAATAAACTGTAAAAATGCTTTTATATATTTTCCAAAATAATAAAAGTATGCTTTTATTGATCCACAAATGCATCTCTGTCATTTATGTTGTCACCTAATGTAAAAACAGACAGAAAGGCATGTTAAAACAATATAAATGAAAACTAAACCTTAACTCATAAAGTCACACCATAAATAAGAGACAATTAAAATAATAAAAATTTAACTACTTTTCATAATAATCAAGCCTTAATAGTCCTTGTTTATTCAACAAATAGCCTAGTCATATAAAATTTCCTTTAAAATAATATATTTTCAGATAACAATACAATGTTTAAATGGAGATGTATGATAATCAAATCTGTACCACTGGGTTTAGTGCAGGGAAAGAAAGTAAAGGCTTTGTAATTGATATTAAAATGTTGCTTAATATCTCCCAAATCTAGATATATCCTCTCCATCCCATCCATTTACCGTACAAAAAGCAGCAATCTTGGCTGTAGAAAAACAACCCCACACATGGTCCTGGGGGTGCTGCAGCTCCCTCCCCCCAATGGCAAGAGGGAGACTTTTTAAAATGTATTAAAAGATTTACATAGTCTAATGACAGAAACGCATTTCGTATTGATTGATTTCCAGTTTAAAATTTTGTGCACGACATTCTAGTAATGAAACGTTCCCACGTGGTTTGGCAGCGGCTTGGTTTGGATGGCAGTGGCTGCATAATGTGGAACAGACTGATCATATTTTCTGTTTTGTTTGTCTGAAAGCAGTCAGAAAAAAAAAATCATACCTAGAGACAAATTTAAGAAAGATAACCCCTTCATGGCTGCCGGTTTTCCCAATTAGCTTTAAGCCACTCAACATTTTTTTTATTGGGAAGTTTAATTATTAGCGCAGTAGTGAATCTCAAAAGTAAAAAAAAAAAAAATTCATAATTTTTATCCAGTTAAGAAAAACGATTAAGCATGATTTTATTGACCTAATCTCAAGCTTATAATTCCAGCTGTTCATCCGATTGGGACCACATTACATGGACTTGATCAGCCGCTTGATCTGCCTAACATCTCAATTAAGCTATGTCATGCTTTATTGTTGAGTTACATGGAATATTAGATATAAAAATCATTTAATTGAAGGGTGATCTTATGAATAAAATCCAATATTGAATTAAAAATCTAAATAATACCATGGTCACCAGAAAGCTCTATTACCTTCACATCTTAAAAGTTAAAAATGGACCAATAAGTTGTTTTTTTAAAGGTAGAGGCTCACAGGAAACATTGCCATTTTTGCAAATATAAACACTGATATTATTAGATGGATTGATAATTCAAGTAAAAAACATCTTATTTTACTAAATCAAATATCTGTGGATTGTAAAAATTTCCATGCTAAACTCCCTGTTGGAAAACCAGTCTTTGGTGAAGTAAATCATTCTGGAACCAGTCCTACAGTTGAAATCACACTTGTTGTAACAACATACGCTGGTTGGAGCAAATGAAAGAAGACTAGACCCAATGCAACTCACATGCATTCACATAAATCTGTGATCGGATTATCTATCAGCGTTAATCTCGATATGCATGGTCCTCATCTGGGTTCAAAGATGAAGAAATCATAATCCACAAGGAAACCCTGAACCAGAGATTATAGTAAGCAGTAAATAAGGTCAGTTTCACCCTGTTTGCAGAGACTAAAATAGCCTCTGTTAAATAGACAGACAGGGCCATAATCATACAGCTAGATCCAGGCTCTGTTTCTGATGTCACTGTGGACTCAACACTCTTCATGCTGTTGGTTTGTCACTTGTGAAGTGGTTGAATTTACCCCTCCTGCTGTCCCTCACATATGCTTAGTGGCTGAGGGAGTGATATTTTTTTCCTGCTTACAAGTAAAAGAAAAGTGTAACAAAAAATGTCTGGCGCTTGATGTTCAAATGGAGTTGTTCCTCCCCACTGTTACCCCAACTTGGTCAGAATTAGCCAAACAGATAAATCCATACCAACTTATTTGTATTAGATAATTATTATGTGTTGCAATATAACTGAAAAGGGACCTTAAAATATTATTAGATTGCTTTATAGCTTGTTGCTTTATGAATAAACTTAACCTGTACCCCTTTTTTATATTTAGGATTCCTTAAGCTATTCTATACTGTTTATCACACTCATGTGGACTGTTTGTCTTAAAGTGCAAAATAGAAGGAATAACTTTTACGTATTTGTTTTTACCCATTAAAAACATCTTGACAATTTTTATTAAATATATCAGATCACTAATTGAAATGATTTAATACATTTTGCCCTGGTCTTGCCCCTGTATTCGTCTGGGAGAGCGACTGACCCAGTGTGGTCTGTAAGCAATCTCATGAGCCATGATTCCTGCATGCATGCCCTCTTTCCAACTGGACTTTTTATTTTTTTTATCCTCTACTCTCTTTTCTGGGCCTAAAAATCAGGTTAGCGTTTTATAAGGAGCTTAGCGCAGAGGGCCACAGTGTGCCACTAATGTAATGGAGTATCCCTCCCTCTCCCTCTCTCTCACACACATTCTCATCTGTCCTCTTTTCTCTTTGTGCATTTGCTTATCCTGTCATGCTGTGACCTTCTCCCTTTGTGATCCATTCTTTCTTTCCTCCCAGCCTGTTTTTTTTTCCACTTCCCTCGCTCCTTTGCCTCTGCTTCTGCAGATGTGGACAAATTTCAGCCTGAGGGTTAAACATTAGGTCCATCACACGGCTGAAACTCCAGCTGGAGAGGAGGACAAACAGGAGGGAAGTGAAGCCGAGCTGCTGGCTGGGTCGTTTGGTGAGTTTTAGATGGAATGGAGAGGGAATTTTTATGTTGTTGTTGTCTTTTTTTATGTGAAATAATATTTTTGAATGCATTCCAATTAAGCTCTGTAGGATCACTGTGATGCTGTGAAGGTTACAAGAATCCCTGCATTGTCAATAATCCATCAGATTATCCTCTGTTTCCCTGTTGGATGTGGTCAGACTCTAAATGTCGCTTCTTTATTATATGAAGCTTTATTTGAATTGACTTGGAAGCTTAAAGCACAAGGAAACTTTGATTTAGGGTCACTGTTTTTTTCTGGAATTGTCACATGGGTATCATGTGCTTGTATCCCTTTAAGAAGGTGCACTCCATGGGACAAAAAGGTGCCGCATGGACTTTGTATGTTTACCTATAACCCTATCTATCTCTTTTTTTTTTTTTTATCAGCCAGCCAAGCAAGATTATGGTCTGTTGACTCCTTGACAACTGACGCACAAAACAGTTTGAGACACAGACAGAGGCCATAGCTCACACAGACCAAACCCCAGGTTAAATACAGAAATAGACCAAATGCAGAAAGCGGATTGAGCTAAATCCTGTTTCTAATATTATATCTCCCCATCTTTGATCTTAAGGATTCATCGGTTTATAGAAAGCTATTTACAATTTACTATTTTTCTAAACTTTTGCAAGAATGGACATCTAAAAATTGTTATGGTTATTTGCAGTCACTCCGGATTATTTATGTCCCCACATAGTCTATTACTGTGTTATTTAATGTCGGCTTTAAATCCAGCATCATGTATTCAAGGAAACACATCAGACTGGTTAGGGATACAGCTATGGAGGAGTTTAAAGGAGGACTAAAAGACAAAACAATATTCCACGCTTCAAATATCTCCAATCTGTTCAGTGCATCAACAAAAAAAATTGAGTTTGGCACAGATGCAAACTTACCTATAATGCCCTTGTTTGTAATCTGACTGGGAGGCATTAATGAGAGAAGCAGTCATGGTAACACTGGAGGAGCTGTAGAGAAACAACAGGACAGCAGTTGTGCTCTCCTTATGTCTGACCCTTTTTGGAAGATTAACAAGAAGGAATAACGTCCCTAAAGAAAGACATTAAAGGTCCTGCTTGCTTGAAACATTTGTGAAAAAGTTGCTCTGGTCAGATGAGATCTGCATACAAAAACACTATTTATGACAAAACAATGTCCCGGCTTCTCCACCTGAGCACAGCATCCCCACAATGAAACACAGAGATGGACCCATCATGCTGAGGGGTTGCTTTTCTGCAGACGGAGCAGTGAATCTGTTTAGAAAACCTGAAAAAAGTCCTGAAACATATTACTAGATCTATGATGAACAGTTTTAGACCCAAGCATATCAAAGTGTTGGAATGGCCTAGTCATTTGAAGACCCACATATCCTGAGTTTACCAACATTAACAAGCAAAAATGTCTGTCTTTAGATTAGCAAAGCTGGTGGGAAATTACCTATAAAGAGCTGCAGCTAAAGAAGGTTCTAGAAAATCTTCACTTAGGGCAGAGCAATTTTATTATTAAAGATTTGTAGGAAAAAAAAAACAGAATAAAAAACCACGGATGGTTGCTACTTTTTGTTAATCCCAATAAAGTACAGTGATGTTTGAGGTTGTAAAATAAAAAACTAAAAAATCTTGAACAATTACAGATGTTTTAATATATAGAAAATGTTGTTTTTTTCTGTAATTCTAGTCTTAAACAGTAACCACAGATAATAATTAGAGTGCTGCGCCATTAATGATTGACCAAATAAAAAAAAAAATAATGGCTGCAAACTCAGAATCTATGTCTGTAATGATTTCTGCTGCACCTTTACAGATAAGATGCTACCTAAGCTTTAGGGGTAATTATTAGACTGCTTTGATAAAATATTAAATCAGCTCATCTTAATAATGATTGCATTTTGCTGATCAAGACGAGGTGCTCAGCCACTGTTGCTTGGATTACATTAAAGGTTGTTTCTGCTCCTGATAATCAACTCTGTAATAAACCTTTGAACTGTACGCAACATCTGAATCTACGCTTAAGAACAAAGAGCAAACCACTGCTATGTTGGTGCCACTTTAGGAGTGCTTCACCATGAGGCAGCAGCCAGCAAACATGGTATGTCTGGACTAGTTTTGTTTGGCAGGGGTTTTTTGTTTATATCTCCCTTTCATTAAAAACACATTTTGGATTTTTTTTCTTGTTTGTTTTCTTATTAAGGCTCGGACAGATGGAATCTTTCTCTGGGGATAATGAAGAAAGCGCCGAGGAAATTACAAGTGAGATTTTCTCATGTAGAATTTCTTAAAAATGTTAAATTGAAGAGGAAGCAAATGTTTTTTAAAGGACAATAAAATTCTCTATGTATTCAAATCTATCTGAATCTGTCTCTTTTTTTATCTTTGCAGAACGTAAAAGCTCCAAAATCAAGTCTCTAAAAACCCGTTTCTTCAGGAGGGGTAAGAAAACGGGCTCAGAGGCCGATGCCAAGCTCAGCCAGTCGGCCAGTGATATAACAGCTGGAAAAGTACTTGGTTCAGATGAAGATTTAGCGTGAGTGCACCGATGACACAAAAACTTAGCAAATATCACCATCATCATTTCCTATCCTTATTCTCCTAAATCTTCTCTGTGATTTAAAGCTCTCAGGGTACGATGGGATCCAGAGCATTTTCCCACGACAGCATCTTTCTGGCTGATGAGGGCCTTTCAGACCCTGATCCAGTCCGGCTTTCATCTCAGGAGAATGTTCACAGCAAAATTAAATCTCTGCAGGTATGGCTCTTTGTTCTCCTCCTGTTGCTCAAAATCATGAATTTGAGGCAGGATTAATGGATTTAACAGCAACGTCCTTTGCTTCACTATCAAAGATGAAGTTGCAGCTGCAGAAAATGCATTTCGGGCCACCCCCCATGGTTCTACCAATCAGGAGTCCAGAGGAAACCGCTCACAAGTCGGAGCACCTGTCTTTCCAAAGCTGTAATGAAACTTTGGAAGAGGAAAACTTCACAAAGGTAATTCATCATCTCTCTTAAATGAACAAACAAACCAATTCAATAAAAAGGCTTCCTAGAGTTCAAGTTACACACAATGTAGATAAAGAGAGAAAGACATATGCTCAGGATTCTTTTTTAGTCAAAATTATGAAACCTAGAAATGATTAAGTAACGAGAGTGTAAAGATTTAGCAAAGTTGAATCTGACCCTGCTTTGCATCATCTTGCTTCACTAAAACAGAAGACCTTGTTGATGAGAAGCTTAACTGATTCATTTGAACCTTAAAAGTAAAAATCTGCTTAGTCTGAACGATTCTTATACAGTGTCAGTATTAATTAGTGCATAATTGTTAGGGAAGAAAAAGTATTACATACTTTCCTTAACTTTTGCAACGGAAAATCTAAAATAGGCCTGTGCAAATAGGAAAACTCCAAACCTACATAATTGTAAACTCAAAAGTCCCATTGTAACTTTGGAGGACCTCCTGCTATCCACAGCTCAGGTGGGAAAGTCTGTCGATAACAAAACAATTAGTGATGCTCATATCTAACCTTTATGGACATGGGGAGTGGTGGCCTGGTGGTTAGAGCAGTGCGTGTGTGCTCTGAGAAGGTTGCAAGTACTCAGTTCAATCCCCACAGCCTGCACTCTGGGTCCCTGAGCAAGACCCTCAATCACACACTGCTCCCCGGGCGCTGCACAGTGGCAGCCCACTGCTTCCCAAGGGGATGGGTTAAATGCAAAGGTAAATTTCTCCAGTGTGAGATGAATAAAGTTCAATAAATAAAAAAAGAAAGCCCTCAGTGAAGAAAAGCCATAAGGGTTGTTTGTCCTTTGCTTGTTTGTGCTTTTAAAATGTTGCCTCAGTCAAAGGATGAAAAAACAGAAAAAAATAAGTATTTTTCATTTAAGCAAAGGGTTAACTTAGTAAGGAAATGACCACTGTACATGAATCTAAATGAGTTACTCGACTGCAAACATGGCAGTGGCAGCGTCACGCTGTGGAGATGCTGGCACAGGGATAATGGTCAGCGTTAACTGAGCCACAAAGCTAATTAAATATTAATCATTGAACTTTTAGAAGCTGCTAAACTTATAGGACAGAAATGAATCAGAAGACAGAGCTACATTACATGGGTTTAAACATATTTATTTGATAAAATCTAGTCTAGTCTGAGTCCAGAACTAAACCAAATTGGGCTATTCTACTTTTGATAATGGTTAAAATTGCAGCTAAATTTTATTCTGAAAACCATTTATGCAGGTATGCTGAACATGACTGCACACCAACCTTGTCAGAGAAATCACACCATTTAACTTTAAAAAGAGACATTTTAGAAAGCTCAGTGATCTAGGTATTTTTTACAAGGTATCATAATTGATTAAATATCCTAAATACAACAAAGTTGACCTAAAGGTCAATATTAATTCTGCCATACTATCAAAATATGTAAGACTAATGTTTTTGTTGCCTTTACCCTTTCAGACAAAATCTCAGCCAACCTCTCCTCCAGTCTCACCCGTCTCCAGATTTGCCCAAACAAGATTTCATCCCCCAATTCAGTTTTCTTACTCTGCACCCAACTACTGCTCAACAACTGCTGCTGAGGCCCCGGTAGACTTCAGCGCACCAGCCAAATTCACCGCCTCTTTGGATACATCTGCTGCGCGACACAGGATGTCCATCAAACCGAGAAACCAAAGGGCCACTTCTAAGAGGAAGCCGCCTTCTGGGGTGAGAATCTTCATCAATCCTCACAAAGACAGTGCTAAATGTATACATTCGCTTACAAACTTTTGACATTATTTATCTTTCCCTGTTTAGATTCAATCTGGGTCCCTTTTGCATGATCTCAGAACCACTGATTACTTTGAGCTTGTGCAAGAACAAGAACATGAACAAGAACAGGAGCTTGTTGTTCAACCAGAGGAAACAAAGGAGAAAGAACAGGTCGATCCTTTCCAACTTTCTCCTATAGAATTTGAAGATGTGCCCCCAATTTTATCTGAAGTTGTACCCAAATTACCCAGTCCAACTGTTAGCCTGCAGGACAAGGCCCTTCCTGAGACAGAAGCCCCCCCAGTTCTTCGAGTCAAGCCTTCCAGGCTTCTGGATGTATTGAACAGTAAACGGCCGCACTCCTCCTACATTGAGTCCGAAATAAAGGAGAAAATTGTCAAAGATTTGGAAAGCAAAGTAATGCCCCAAAACAAGAGACATACCTTTATTACCAGTGTGACAGAACTCTCCTCTGACCAGAGCTCACCCTTCAGCTCATTGTTTGAAACCAGGGCATCTCCTGCTCAGCAGCAGCATCTTCAAAAAGAAGAGGACGCCTCAACAAGGTTAAAGAGACCATCCCCAGGATCCGGCTCGTTGTATTTGCCCAGAAACAGAGAGGGAGAAAGACCTCGATCTGGCAGCTTCACGGGAGTCCTAGAAAAGCCTGAAGCCAAGGCTAAAACAACTGAGGAAACAGAAGAGAAAATCCCGAGAGAAAAGGAGGAAGTAAAAATTTTACATCCTATAGGAGACCCCTGTGCTGCAGAAAGAACGGACTCATCTCCCCCATGGGAGAGATATTTTAGCTTTAAAAAAAAAGAACCAGGGACACCAGTGAGAAACGCTACCTTAGACACCAGCCTGGTGGAGGCAGTGAGAGTGGGAAGCACCCAGGAGCTAGTGGATGAAGCCAAGGAGGCAAAAGAGCTTCCAGAGAGTGAAATAAAGACACCATTCGGCGTTAAGCTTCGCTCCACATCGAACTCTTTCAAGCATCGTTCTGAAACAGCTTCTCAGCGCCATTCGGCAACGTTTCTGTCCGATGACCAAGACGATACAAAGAAAACGTCGAACATTTGCGAAAGTTCCAATCAAATGTCTGAAAAGCTACATGCAAACATCAGCTGCTCGCTCAAATCATCAGGTGAGTCTGTCATGATTTATTATCTTAACAGACATACCCATCATTCCTGATGATGGTAAATATTCCTGTTGCATTAAAATAACCCAACACTGAAAAACAAAGCCAATAACAAACCTTTACAAAGCCTATACAAAAAAATTTATCTTAGGAAATGAAGGAATATCTCAGATTCACTTGAGCTCTTTAAAATGGGAAAACAGGAGAACCTATTTAAGTAAGACAGATGTGTACCATATACCATAACTAGAACCGTGAGAACTAAGGCTAAAGGAAACCCAGAATTTTCTTGCTTTGAAGATGAGGGTCAGGGCGATGAATAGAGATGCAAAACCTCATTGTTACTTATATCAACTAATACATTGGGAAACATGCTGCAAAAAGAAAATGTTTTCTGCCAACTTATCCCAAATGAAAACATGAGGGTTTACCACACTCTAATGGGACTTTTTCAGAAGCTATGGTTTGGTCTGATTAATTCCTTAGATACTAATTCTAGTCAATGGCATTAAACCATGGAGTATATATGGAGGAGAATTTATCGGCTGTTCGATCAATCGGCCTTGATTTTTTTTATTTTTGCAGATCGGCGATCAGCTGATACTTAGATGGTAATCCTTTCTTTTCCACCAATCTGATCTACCTCTCTAAAGGTCTTAAGACCAACTTGTATTTAAAGAACTAAAATTGCTTGAAACTAAAACGCTTGGACTCTACCTGCATTAGCCGTGCCAAAATCTGTGGCAACGCTATTTGCCACTGGGTGTTGTGATATCACCATCAGGCGTAGCCAAGCAAGTCACCAGGTGTTGCAAAGCCAGTTGCTACCAGGTTTTATGCTCTCAACTGATGTGAGCTTAACTCAACTAACCCCATCAAGCTTTTGGTCCAACAATTATTCACCAGGTGCAAGGCACCTCAGAAATTTCCTTGGAGAATTTTCTAGTTAACAAGTATTCCTGTATAACAGGCTTTTCCTAATTTATGAAACACATCTGCTTTACTTTAATGGAACATTCTCTTTTCTTTCCCATTTTGAGGAGCATCAGAAATTCTGTTCAAATTACTTTAGGCAAATTCTTTTGTTGGATTTCCACCTGTTAAATGCATATACTCAAAAGAAAGGGTAGATTTTTGTAAAAATTCAGTATTTTATGGCTTTGGAGCCATCTTTACCCCTGAGACGTGAATAGACTTAGAGACTTAAAGACTTCATTTGGGTGTTGAATATTGGTTGTTGTTCTTACAAAAAAACATAAGACTGCAGAAATAGGACAAAAATAAAGATAGCATTTGCAGTGTGATAAGATAAGAGATTTTACTACAGACCAGACACTACATGCACTGTGACATATAGTATGCCTTTAATACTTTTGCATAGTTTTAGTGTGCTAGTTAAACATTGCTTGCTGTGCTGCTGAGTCTTCATAGCAACAACGATTCCACATGGCAAACAATCAATCTAGAGATAAGGCTTCTTGCAATTACACAGGAACTTTGCGCTCGTTAAAATACCACTTGACTAACATATCTAACAGAGTTGTGTCCCTCCTTAGATCAAGCTCCTTTTGGCGTCACCCTTCCAGCAAGGCATAACACTTCATTTGAAGAAAGTCCTCAAACCACCCCCACGGAAGTCCAGCCAACCTCCTCTAACCAAAGGGAAACTGAGCCCGCCCCCCTGGAGCCTCGGCCTAGCCCCCAAACGTCCTCACCTGAGACCTCCTGGATAAGTCTGGCCATGCAAAAGACAAGGAGCTTCCAACATCTTTTTACCAGCAGATTTCAAAGAGATTTTACTGCCGCACCAACTACAGTTTGTCCTAAGACTCAAGAAGAGACAACGCCTCATATGCAGAGTCAGGCTGTAAAGATTCAACAAAACACAACACAGCTGCCGTTGGACCCAATGAAGGACGAATCAGTTCAAAGCGGTTGTCAAGAGCAGGCTGCCAAACCTTTAACAAGGGGGGGGTCAAAGAAGCTGACGCTGATATCTCAGTTTGAGTCATACAGCTCTAAAGACTCTTCAATGTGTCCACAAATAAGCCAAGGTCAGACACAGCCTCAATCAGACGCTCAGACCAGCCCCAGAACAACCCAGTCTCCCTCGCGCTCGTCTCCCCAAATGGGTCTCTCATCTCCATTTACACGAGGGAATGCACCACATTCCTACTTGTCCTCAGTCCAGCAGGAAACCTCCTGGAGCAATAGAGTTCTTCAACCTGTTGTCACCCAGCACAAACCCATACATTCAGCGCTGGAGTCAGAACCTGCAGTCACATCGGCTGCAGCTCCTACTCTAGACTCTGCCTTGGAGAGAAGAGAGAGAGAAGGCAGTGTTCTAAAAGAGAGTCCTTCCCTCGTAAGCAAGCGGGTGCTGTGGACAGGATCAGGGGTCGACAGAGCCCTCTTTCAGGAGAAACGAGGCGACTGTTCAATGTCGCCGTTACTAAAGGAGGTTTGTGGCACTTTGGAGCGTTATCTCTCCTAAAATACATATTTTACAAAAATCTTTTTATGCAACTAGAAACTTAATATGTGTAGTTATACAGAATACATGTATTTGAATTGAGCCTAAATACATTTTTCTACTGAACTGACATTTCATTATTTCTGAAAATTGAAATAAGTCTTTTCCCTTATCCTGAACAAATTTTTTTTTTTTTTATCTTTCTTAGTTGGAACAGAGGAAAACTCAAACACAAATGCAGACCTTGGAGGACTCTGATGCTTTGGCTACACTTTTCCCTTTAAGCAAAGATACAGGGGAGATTAGACAAGGGGCCAAATCAGCAGGTATGCTGATGATACACATCTTTTATAATAACACAGCTCATTGCAAAAGATAATAATTAAATATTTTCAAAACTTTTTCAGTCCAGCCTTTAGACCTTTGTGACAGACCAACACAAAGCAACTCGTAATGAAGTACATTTCCAGTTTGTAGATTTAAAAGGTAGCATAAAAAGCTTATATTAGTATAAACTATATAAATCTAAATGCAGATAATTGAATATGCTTGTATCCAGTGTCCCTGATATAAGTTTGTATCAAGTGAACATCAGTTTGCTCATAAGCTCTGAAAAGCAGCTAATTGCTGTAATTGCAAATTCATAAATATATTCTAAATAGCTTATAACAGAATTCCCTGTGCATCCCACCTAGAACTAAAACCTCAGTATCTAAATAAATCTAAACCCTTCAATTGTTGCCTTGTATGCAGGTTTAGGGTATTTCCTGTAAGAAGGCGAACCTGTTTTTTTTTTTTTTAGAATTACTTCATCCGTCTCTTTTTTACCAGCTGCTAAATGAATATATCCCCAAAGTATGACTCTGTCCCCACATTGCTTCAGTAAGGGGAAGGTGTTCTCAGGGTTCTAAGCACTGGTACTTTTGTGTGACAAATACGGGTTGCAAGCAGGCTAATAACATGCCCTTTTGATCAAATTGAACCAAAAGATCTGTGTGTTTGCTGTGTCCCCCTGCATGGCCTGTGAAAAATTAACTCTATTTACCGATGAGGTCATATCTGATAAAGGTTGAATTGATGGGTTTGTTTAGGGGTATCGATGGCGAGCTGTGCTTTAATGTTTTCCTTTTCTGCTTTTTGTAGAATCAAGCCCCTTTAGGGTTTTAGAAAGGCCTCGTGAGGACAGATGGACCCGCAGGAACGTGGAGTCACCCTCATCCCCGTCTTCAATGTCGCCATTTCTAAAGGAGGTTAGTGGCACTTTGGACAACTATCTCTCCCAAAGAACATATATTACAAAAACATTTTTAAGCAACTAGAAGCTTAGTATAAGGAGTTATATTGAATACAACGTATTTGAATTGAGCCTAAATGCATTTTTGTAGTGAACTAACATTTAATTCTCTCTGAAAATTGAAATACCGGTAAGTCTTTTCCCTTTTTCTGAACAAATATTTTTTTTATCTTTCTTAGTTGGAACAGAGGAAAACTCAACCACAAATGCAGACCTCGGAGGACTCTGATGCTTTGGCTACACTTTCCCCTTTAAGCAAAGATACAGGGGAAATTAGACAAGGGACCAAATCAGCAGGTATGCTGATGATACACATCTTTTATAATAATACAGCTCATTGTAAAAAATATTTTATATATTTTCAAAACTTCTTCAGTCCAGCCTTTAGACCTTTGTAACAGACCAACACAAAGCAACATTTTAGTGCTGTCAGTTTTTCAGGTGGATCTACATCAGAACTTTGACTAGACAATTCAAGCACACCAATAACCTTTGGTCTAAACCTCAGACTGTGCATTTGAACAACATGCAACACATTTCATTTCCATTTAATTCTAGAAGTAAACTTTCCTTTTTGGAAAGATAAACAGAAAGGCGTCTTAAAGCCAGAAAAAAGTGGAAAACATAGAACTTTTCCACCAACCCCAAAAATCCAATATGACTGCCATGTCCAAATAGATAGCATTTAGCTTGTGCTGTGGAATTTTTTTAAGCCTGGTTATTTTAAGTTTTAGCTAACTCCTATAAATTTTCCAACTAGCCTGAAAAAGATTGTTTTATTCTCACTTTCAGATCCAAGTTCTAAAGCCCCTGTCACGCCTTGACGATTTAACCAGTGTATGTTTGACGTCCTAAAATCTTCTAAAACGCTGGCATACGCTGAACTTTCTATGTTTTTTTTTTTCAATTTTGGGCGTGTTTAAAGAGTATTCATAATGAGTCCAAAACTTATGTCAAATGAAAGCCTAACTTATGCATAATGCACAACAGCGTAATGCCGGTGAAATGTCACAATCCAGTATCCTGAGGGGGCAGCAATACACCCGGAGGCACCCGGCATGCATAATAAGATTTCTTTGATTGCGGTATTAATCTAGCTACTGTTTACTAACTGCCAAAATAAAAAAAAAGAATTAATAAATAAATAATAAGACAGAAAGAAGGTTTGCAGTTGTCACAGATTCAGCACCATATCTGCTAGGAAGTTTGTTGGTCGTGGCCGTGGACGCAGGGAGGATCCACCACACTCACCTTCTTGCTCACCCTGTGATGGGGATGAAGCCTGGAGGAGAACTGACGGCTTCCTCCCGTGAACCCCCTTTCACACCAAAACACTGCCAATACGCCATTATACGGCAGCTGTAAATTAGAAACATGTCCAGCGGTCGTCTGGAACACGTCAAATACTCTGATATGCGTTGGAGATAAGTTCTTGATAAGTTACACGTAAGTTATGCATAAGTTTCTCATAGGTTTTGGATAAGCTAGACACCATGACTTATGAGTAACTTACACAATGTGTAACTAACAGTCAGTGACTTATGACTCATGTAATAATAATGAATAATTATTGAACTTTGTTGATCTCATATTGGAGAAATTTACCTCTGCATTTAACCCATCCCCTTGGGATGGGGATGGGTTAAATGCGTGCGGCGCCAGGGGAGCAGTTTGGGGTTAAAGGTCTCACTCAGAGAACCAGAGTGGCAATCTGTGGGAGTGGGGCTTGAACTCAGAACCTCAGTATTGCAACCTCTATGTCCTAACCACTAGGCCACCAATCACCACTCCCACAGCATACGCTGCCATACATCCGAAGATTTTGAGCATGCTCAAAATTTCTTGACGTACTTACCATATGTCGACGTGTGCCATCGTGTTCCAGCATAGTCATAACTTATAGATAACGTACCCACAACTTATGCAACCTATTTCAGCGTTTTTTGCCAGATTTTCATACGTCAGGCAAATGCTGGCTATATCGTCAAGGTGTGACAAAGGCTTAAGTAGAAATCAATGATCCTTCACAGATACTTCCCTGTTCACTGTCAACTGCTGCAGTTTCTGCTATAGGATTAACCTAAAAAAATTCCACTGTCCTTCCCTTAAAATGTGTCTTCAGACATTTGATTTCCAGTTTATGGATTTAAAAGGTAGCATAAATGAACTTGTATTAGTATAAACTATATAAATCTAAATGCAGATAATTGAATATGCTTGTATCCAGTGTCCCTGATATAAGTTTGTATCAAGTGAACATCAGTTTGCTCATAAGCTCTGAAAAGCGGCTAATTCTTGTAATTGCAAATTCATAAATATATTCTAAATAGCTGATAACAAAAACCTGTGCATCCCACCTAGAACTAAACCTCAGTATCTAAATAAATCAAAACCCTTCAATTGTTGCCTTGGCTGCAGGTTTAGGGTATTTCCTGTTAGAAGGTGAATCTGTTTTTTGGAGAATTACTCCATCCCTCTCTTTTTTAGCAGCTGCTAAATGAATGTATCCTGACAGGATGATTCTGTCCCCACCTTGCTTCAGTAAGGGGAAGGTGTTCTCAGGGTTATAAGCACTGGTACTTTTGTGTGACAAATATGGTTTACATGCTGGCTAATAACATGCCCTTTTGATCAAATTGAACCGAAAAATCTGTGTGTTTGCTGTGTCCCCCTGCATGGCCTGTGGAAAATTAACTCTATTTACCGATGAGGTCATATCTGAAAAAGGTTGACTGGATGGTTTTGTTTAGGGGTATCAGAGTAAAGATAACAGAATACAAATACATAAACCACACCTTTCCTGCTCTTAGTCATTTTATTTTTTTAACACTTGTTAATTTCCTTCTACTTTATAGTTCTGCACTGCTTTGTGTCGATTTCATCAAATACATTAATCAAAGTTTATATTAGAAAGATTCAAGGCACTGTAAATGTAGAGATTCATCCTTGATACTGATGATAGCGAGCTGTGCTTTAATGTTTTCCTTTTCTGCTTTTTGTAGAATCAAGCCCCTTTAGGGTTTTAGAAAGGCCTCGTGAGGACAGATGGACCCGCAGGAACGTGGAGTCACCCTCATCCCCGTCTTCAATGTCGCCATTTCTAAAGGAGGTTAGTGGCACTTTGGACAACTATCTCTCCCAAAGAACATATATTACAAAAACATTTTTAAGCAACTAGAAGATTATTCAGTATAACTCCATATGCTTAACTTAGTATATGGAGTTATACTGAATACAATGCATTTGAATTTAACCTAAATACAATTTTGTACTGAACTAATATTTGATTCTTTCTGAAAATTGAAATATTTTTTTTTCCTTTTTTCTGAACAAATATTTTTTTTTTATCTTTTTAGTTGGAACAGAGGAAAACTCAAACACAAATGCAGACCTCGGAGGACTCTGATGCTTTGGCTACACTTTCCCCTTTAAGCAAAGATACAGGGGAGATTAGACAAGGGGCCAAATCAGCAGGTATGCTGATGATACACATCTTTTATAATAACTCAACTCTTTATAAAAGCATTCATCCTTCAATATTTTAAAAACTTCTTTAGTCCAGTCTTTAGCACTTTGTAACAGACCAACACAAAGCAGCACTTAATTTATAGAGGAACAACAAGACATGGTCTTTATGTACTGTATATTTACAACAAAATATCAAAACTGTGACATATATTTTTACTTTGCCCCATTGTGTCAAACTTTTAGAACCTCCTTCACCTGCAATTCATGAAACAAGTCCTCTGAACTCAGTCAAATGACACCTAGAGGGAAAATCAACATTTTAGTGCTGTCAGTTTTCAGGTGGATCTACATCTACTTTGAAAAGAACATTCAAGCACATCAATAACCTTTGGTCTAAACTTCAGACTGTTTATTATAAGTGCATTGAAACAACATGCAACACATTTGTTGGATTATTTTTGTCATTAATTTCCATTTCATGCTATAAGTAAAGTTTCCCATTTAGAAATATAAACAGAAAGGCGTCCTGAAGTCAGAAAAAAAAGTAGAAAACATAGAACTTTTCCACCAATCCCAAAAACCCAATATGACTGCCATGTCCAAATAGATTGCATTTAGCTTGTGCTGTGTATATTTGTAAGCCCAGTTATTGTAAGATTTTTCTAACTCCACAGATCCTTCCCGCTTCACTGTCATCCGCTGGAGTGTCTGATTTAGGATTACCCAAAGAAATCCACTGTCCTTCCCTTAAAATGTGTCTATAGACATTTGATTTCCAGTTTGTAGATTTAAAAGGTAGCATAAAAAGCTTATATTAGTATAAACTATATAAATCTAAATGCAGATAATTGAATATGCTTGTATCCAGTGTCCCTGATATAAGTTTGTATCAAGTGAACATCAGTTTGCTCATAAGCTCTGAAAAGCAGCTAATTGCTGTAATTGCAAATTAATGAATATATTCTAAATAGCTTATAACAGAATTGCCTGTGCATCCCACCTAGAACTAAAACCTCAGTATCTAAATAAATCTAAACCCTTCAATTGTTGCCTTGTATGCAGGTTTAGGGTATTTCCTGTAAGAAGGCGAACCTGTTTTTTTTTTTTTTTAGAATTACTTCATCCGTCTCTTTTTTACCAGCTGCTAAATGAATATATCCCCAAAGTATGACTCTGTCCCCACATTGCTTCAGTAAGGGGAAGGTGTTCTCAGGGTTCTAAGCACTGGTACTTTTGTGTGACAAATATGGGTTGCAAGCAGGCTAATAAAATGCACTTTTGGTCAAATTGAACCAAAAGATCCGTGTGTTTGCTGTGTCCCCCTGCATGGCCTCTGGAATATTAACTCTATTTACCGATAAGGTCTTATCTGAAAAAGGTTGACTGGATGGGTTTGTTTAGGGGTATCAGAGTAAAGATAACAGAATACAAATACCGGTACATAAACCACATCTTTCCTGCTCTTTGTCATTTTATTTTTTTTTAACACTTAATTAATTTACTTCTACTCTATAGTTCTGCACTGCTTTGTGTCATTTTCATCAAATACATAAATCAAAGTTTATATTAGAAAGGTTCAAAGCACTGTAAATGTAGAGATTCATCCTAGATACTGACGATGGCGAGCTGTGCTTTAATGTTTTCCTTTTCTGCTTTTTGTAGAATCAAGCCCCTTTAGGGTTTTAGAAAGGTCTCGTGAGGACAGATGGACCCGCAGGAACGTGGAGTCACCCTCTTCCCCGTCTTCTTTACGCTCTCATTCTTCAGTGCCGAACAGTGACAGCGGCCAACCGTCCTGGATGGAGCTGGCCAAGAGGAAGTCAATGGCTTGGAGTGATAAGAGCATGCACTAAAAAGGGAAGCTGAGAGATTTAAAGTTTCTCGGAAACCGGAACAAGTACTGCTTGAAATGAGAGAATAAGACAAAAGCTGAGTGAAGCTGCCTGGAAGGTGGTTATCAGATGTGGTTTAAAACCCTCCTTTTTATTCAGTCACAATGTTTTATCGTTCTAGAAACAGAAAGAAAGACTGAACAAACTGACATTTCTATATACTCCATCTTTATGATAAGATGTGTTTATGAATAATTTGTAATGATGGCTAACAGATTACTGCTGTAAAATGTTTATGGTAAATAATTAAATTTTCTAAAGTGTCCAAGCTTCTTATTTACAAAGACTAAACAAAAACAAAAAAAATATGAATAAAGTTGTTAGTTTCTATAATGACCTCGAAAAATTAGACTTATAGCTCCACCTACAGGTCAGAAAAAGCTATAAGTATACTTATTCTATTTATTTAAAATAAGAAACATGAACATGGTTAATATATTTCGCTGCTTTATTACTGCTCTATGTGTCATGTGTGGATTCACATAAAATGGTTTTCTCTGAAATCTTAATACAAAAAAGATTATGAGAGGATTATAGGTTTAACTACTATGTTGTATAGATTAAAACACTGCATCATACATGTGCTCAAAACATCTCTAACTTTATATCCCTGAAGAATGTGGTTGAGATTTCAAGAGATCATTAATTATATAATTCTTTATTAGTCAGTTGCATAGTAAATGACAGAATATGTTATCAAACTTATGCAGGAAAGAATGTCTAAAATCTTTTTTTTGCTTTTAATAAGGTACTCACTTTGTTTAACATCCATTTTTCTGTATGCATCAAATGTATTGAGTGACATTTGTGATATGTAACTTCTTTTTTATTTACCAGGTAATTAATACTGTGCAAGAGGAAAACCTTTCCTCTGATAGAGGACAGCCATCAGCGTCATGTCAAAATGTGTGAAGTAAAACAAGCCAAAAAAAACGACAATATTCTATGTCTTAGCTTTGTAAAAAAAAAAATGTCCTAAAGACATAACCATAAATAAACTAAATGGCAATGAGAACACTTGGGAGTAAAACAGCAGATTTTCAACCAAATGATTGAAATACCAGAAATTATTATTTAACCATGTTTAAAAGGCTTTGGTTTAAAGGACACCTTATGTGGACGAACGACAGCTCGACGGAGGAGATCCAGCTGACAGTCTGACGAGTTGTTTGTAAAAAAACGTTTCTTGCCTTATGGGTTGGTGGATGGAACAAAAGGCAAGTCAGGTAGATGAGGATGAGGAAGGATGGACAACAGTTTCAAATGGGAAAGAGAGAGATAGATGAGGTAAAAGGGGAGAAAGGTGGTTTGAGAATCAAGGAAATACACTGGAATTAGAAGAAAGCAGTTCAGATGAAGAAAGAGTTGAGCAAAGTAAGGTTGTCAGAGAAGAGATAAAAATAATATTTAGATTAAGTGCTGAAGAAAGCAGTCATTAGAGCCCCATTTTGATTTCCAGAGAAATCATAAAAAAAATGTGGGAGTTGAATTAGTGAAGGAATTCAAAAGATAGAAACTTGCTGGTAATTTGCAAAAATGAAGAGCAAAAAAATGAAAGCATTGGATGTTGAACACCTAGGGAAAAAAAGACGTCACAGAGATAAAAAGTGATTTGATAGAATACAACAGTGAAAGGAGTAATAACAGGAATACCAATTAATGAGAATTTAGATTAATTAAAGGTTAACATTTTTGGAGGCAAGGTTAACAAGATACAGAGACTGTATAAAAACATACAAGGGAAAGGGTGGACAGCATGTCACTGCTGATAGACTTCTCAGTCAGTTTTATCAGGAAGAGCTGGAACAGGTTTTATGAGTTTCCCAGTCAGGCCGTTCATTCCACCTCCACTCAGGGGCTACAGGTGTCAGTGCTATGGACATGTGCCAACAGTTTGTAGGGGAAAGCAAACATGTTCAAAATGTAGAGAACACAAAATCAAGGAGTGCAGGGAAGAAGCTGAAGAAAGGTGCTGCAACTGTGGAGGCCTGAATAGAGTTAACTATGCAAGCAGCGGAGATACATGTTAAAACAACAAAAAATATATAAGCTATGCAGCAGTGAAGAGAGTGACAAAGGACAGGAGAAATGAATCAAGCACAGAATCAGGTACAAAAGTAAAATAAAGAAGAAAGACAAGATGATAATTTCACTCCAACGGTTGAGAAACTCGTTTTATTCATAGCACATGTCATCATCTGCACAGACCAAGCCAAGCATTAGACACAGAAAATCAGGATCATTCCCAGAGGAGGTGAAAAGTTTTTGGGACTCAAAGAAATTTCTTTGGGAAAACACTGTTACAAGGTTGGAGATGGAGGGAAGAACAGGAGCATCTGGACAATAAAAGTTTAAGACATTATTAGTAATAAATAGTAATATTAAATAAATATATAGGATATTGGTTTATTATATCCATCCATTTTCCATCATGCTTATCCCAATCGCAAAGGGGTGCTGGTGCTTATCTCCAGTTGTCTACGGGTGAGAGGTCACCAGTCCATCACAAGGTTTACTATATTATAGATATAAAGTAAAGCAGAAACATTTATTGGTTAATATACTCTCATTGTGTTTCACAATCCACACCAGTAGGTGGCGGTAATGCACTTTCAAATCGTTTGTCAACCGCCATTAAACTTCACAAAGAAGAAGCCGACACACGCCTCAAGTTTTTAATTTCTCCTGCCGCTAGAGGGCGGTCGCGTTTTAAAAAAAATTTTTTTTTAACTACAGTTACACGTAACTACGGAGCCCAATAGGGGACATGGGGAATTTTTTTTCTTTTGCGTTCCCTCGCAATACTTTTGCGTTCCCTCGCAATACTTTTGCGTTACCTCGCAATACTTTTGCGTTCCCTCGCAAAAACTTTTGCGTTCCCTCGCAAAACCTTTTGCGTTACCTCGCAATAGGGCTTGGTCGTCGTGACCATGTTGACGGCGCACTTTACGGCTTCCTTAGACTATTGCCTGTGTTCTCCCTCTCAGCCGTGTTTTATTTCGTTTAATTTCACCGTAACTTGATTTCAACCATGGTAAACCGTTGCTGTATTGTGGGCTGTTACAGCGCATCACATGATCGCCGAGGGAAAAACCTACAAAATGGGATAACTTTCCACCGTTGTCCTGCCTGGAGGCGCAAACACGGAGACCAAGTTTCACAGATAACAAAGAGTCGTCGGCTAGCTTGGATCGCGGCTGTAAGACGACAGAACAGAACTTTCCACAGTATCCTGATGTCAATGCGAGTGTGTTCCCTGCATTTTCATTCTGGTAAGTTAAAGATGCACGGTTTTATTTTATAGCCTACAGTGTTTCCTTCCTTCATCCGTGGCACCACATACAAGCATGAACGCGCGCCCAGAGACTGTTGATATAGCATTTTCATCCTCGTTGGTTGATATAGCATTTTATCCTCTTTGGTAGAACACACTGCCAGTTCCTACAAGGACAGGGACATCCCTCTCCATTTTCAAAAAAAACCCTGAGGTTGACAGCTGTCATAGCACCACTTATAAATTTTGCTGATCCTAGCGCTTACCAGCCGTCTTGTAATGTAATGTAATCATATAATACAATTTAATAATGTGTATATTGAGGATCATTGATAACATTATGGTTCTATATGTGTTCAACACTGCTGCTGTGGATAATAATTTTAAATTGTGTCACCAGGAAAACCAGCAAATGAAATGTACACCTCGCATCCGGATTGGGCACCATCACTACACTTGGGCCACACTGAGATAAAGGCCACACAGACTGCACGCTATGAGAGACAGGAAAAGAGAAAACGGCAAAGGACTGACAGTACACCTGCGAGGATGAGACAGCTATTGATGACCTTGTTCCACCCGGTAAGCCTTACAGAGCCAGAAGATTCAACACCGTATGTTGCTTTTGTGGCTTTTTCAGCTGCATGATGCACATTTAGCTAAAAGATGTCCTTATTTTATCCATAGTGGAGACACCAGCACCAGCTGAGGATGGAGCTGAGCAGACACCGCCGGCGTGCTGAAATCAACCGGCTGCTGGAGGAGAACAGGACCCTGAAACGTGAGCTTGGCCAGAGAAAAATGGATGAAGATTTCCTGAAGGAAGACACCGTCAAAGTGAAATACTACACTGGACTTCCACACCTTAAAGTCAACCACTTTATTCTGGTGTTTATGAATTACTGTATTAAAGAAAAGATTGATGCTCAATATGGAATTGACAATTTCTTTGTATCAACAATACACTCTAAGCAAACATTTAACAAGTGGGTTGTTTTTTAGCCATAGGTGTGTTTTGCATCCATACCCAAAAGCAAGAGGTCTCAAACGATCAGATCCTTTTCAGTGTTTATTTGCAAGTAGTGAAACTTGAGAACACAGTGCAGCGCAGAACAGAGCAGTGCAGTTTGAATGCTTGTAGGTAAATGGTTACAAATAAAAAATGGACGCGATGAAAATGCAGTGCAATTACTTACAATAACATAGTATGTATTTATACAAAATGTTCAATCCTATTAATAAGTCGGTCTTAATGAAACATCAATGGAGAAATGGAAAGTGGAGATATTGCAAATTATTATTATACAAATTGTAGTTATAGTAAACATTAACAGTTAAACACTGTTAGTGCAAATTCTTATATAAGTATTTATAATAATATGCATTACTTAAATTGTATAAATAAAGGCTGCGATGCAATATGTCATGATATACAATAATATAATCTATAATTGTATAATATAACAACGTGCAATAATATGCAAATATAACAATACAATGTAATAATACAAAATACTATGCTTTTTATAAAAAATGTCTATGTATAAAAAAAATTCCAAAGTAATAAAAAATACGTATTTATGAAACATCAATTACAAACATAAAAATTGGAGGTAGATCAAATTAAGTAATAACAGATATCAATAACATTTGAAGTAGTGCAAATTATTACCGGTACTATAGTACACATTAAAAAACAATGTTAGTGCAATGTCTTATATAATTACTTTTAACAATATGCATTTCTTAAATTGTATAAATAAAGGCTGCGATGCAATATGTCATGATATACAATAATATAATCTATAATTGTATTGTAATATAACGACGTGCAATAATATGCAGCTGCAATGTCTTTCACTGTCTCACAGTGCTGGAGAAGGACAGCTGGTGGAGCATTTTCAAACTTTGGGTCGCGCAGACGGTCTTGCAGGGGTTTTGGGATCACAGCTGGCTGGACAGGAGCAGCATAGTTGTGAAAGTAGGGCTTCACTGTGGACATACAAACTGACCTATGGTTCTGAAGAACAGGGAACATTGACGATAAGTCGTCCAATGTGGCTTGGGCAGTGCGTCTGCTGGCCCGTGTCCGTAGGCCAGGCATGGGAATGTTGTCATCGATGACTCTGTCCAGAGCAATCCTCTGCACTTTGGATGAAGTGAAGTCCATCTTGTGGGCGACTTCACCGCTGACTTTGTTGATACCTGCTGGTATTTTCCAATAAGCTGGCACATCTGTCACAGTCTTTTTCCCACGGATGCGGACTGCTGCCTCAATCTTAAACAGCAGAGCCCCAACATGTGTACATGCCTCTGCAATTCCAGCCATGCATGTACAGTGTGCACAGCAAACCTGCCCATCGTCAGCAATGATGACCCATGGCTTCAGGGGAGTCTCATTAATGCGCTGAGAGTGCAAGACCTGAGGAGAAAAAAAATAGACATAAATTATGCAGGTAAGGACACCATTATATTTCATTCTATGCTGGAAAGCAAACGTTAACCTCAACCCCTCATGCATGTGTATACATATCATATAAATCACAGTTATACAACAGTAAAGTATAACAACCACGCTGTTATATTGTTATATCACTTAAAAGAAAAAGAAATGAAATGAGCACAGGACATTTAAACCTGCATAATACCTCTGACTGAATGATTT